CGTTGCACAGAAATGAGAATGAAGAAGCAATGGAAGACTGCAATGCAAGAAGTATAAACAGGTTTTTCTAAACCACATTTTCTCAAGTATTCATTACCCCTTCCTGCGCAAAGAGAAAGGAATAAAGCTTATACTTCCATCTCTCAGCAAATTCTCTTCAAAATGTTTTCATCTTTGAAACAGTAACTAAACGTAATCTTGGTTTTATACCCCTTACAGAATACTTTGTTTTCTTGAAACCGAGTGCAGAATATTTGCTACACCAGACGTCTGCATACCAACATCCTATGTGGAGTTGAATCTTTATCCCCCCGGGGTTTATTTTCAAACAAAAGATGAAATACCTTCTGCATAACAGACAGTAAAAATTCTGTGTCTACCCTAAGCCTCATATTTTGCTGTTATTTCACCTACCACAGCCATTTCCAATTAAAAAATAAAACAAACAAATTGCCATTACTTACATGAAATGGCTTGTTTGCTGTGTGCACAAAAGACACGCATACTTTCCTACTGTCATCTTTTTTACTAACATACATTCCCTCCATTCATTCCAACCTGCTTCAAGCTCTCTCACCTCCGTTATTCTAGCTCTACTCATTCATTCTCTATTCCCCACATTCTCCAGTTTTATTTTCTTTATCAATTCACATCAACAGCCACAACACCCTACTGCCCAATACTTTCCCAACTATTTTGTTTGCTGATAATTACGCTTGCTGCTTCTCTCAAACTCTTGTGCTCAGTTGATACTATCTAGCAGATTCAAACCTAAACCTCTGTTGTCCATAAGTCAATCCTTCCTACAGATCCCCATCTAAATCAATTCACTCCAGCTTTAAAAACCTACACATCAACTCACCTCTTTCAAATAAATTCATTTATCTAATTCATATTTCAGTTTGCTTTAATTTCACGTTTTCTTTATTGTAATATAGGCTTCTGCTCCCTGTTGACTCAAGTTTTCAACCACATTGATCTCATTCAGAAAACCTGCTGAGTCTTTCATATCTTTTATTCTATCGCCCAAAACAAACTTTGTGAAAGCTACTAGTTTAAGGCAGTTTCAGTACTCTTCTGCAGGCTGTAAACTTCAAAGTTCCTGCTAGAAAAGTCACTGCAGTTAACAGAACTGCTCCTCTTGCACCGTTTTCAAATTAAACAGGAACCTAAATGCTGAGCTGTGCACTCTAACATGCTATGAAAACAACACCTGCTTGTACATAGAAATCTGCATTTGGTTTCTATATGTCATTAATTATATTAACCAGTGTTAATAGAAGCATATTGATACACAATGCCTACAAGAAACATACATGAATTCTACGATATATAGAATAACTTACATGTAAGTATCTAACAGCATGAAAAGCAATCACATGACAGGAAGAAGTGTATTTTATTTGCTCTTAATTTCACTTTGGAATATCATGCCACTTTATCAACACAGATAACAAAAAAAAAAGTAAGTAAATTTGCAGACCTTAAGTCTGAACCAACTAAGAGGATGCAGAACAGTTACTTACCATGTGGAAAAGCACAGCAGATTTGCAAAAAATGCTACCTGAAAAAGACCTGACTGACTTTCTCAGTGACTATTCAAGTTTTGAGTTTCCAATACGTTAGAGCCAGGACCAAAGTTCTATTTCACACAATCTGTGAAATCCCGGGAAATTCAGATTGTTAAATTTCAATCTATTTATGGAAGGTGTTGCCATGGATTTTTTTATTTTTTTTTTTAAAGATATGAGATTTTTACTTCAACGATCATCAGCGCTTGGCATCACAGTTCTGCTGAAAGATAAATGCTGCATAATGTGTCTACATAGTTTTATGAGTAGATCAATCAATTAACATGGCAATAAATTAGCTTCATTACCATGTTTCAGGTATTAGGAGATGCTTTACCAATTAAAATTCACATACTTAAGCAAATGCTAGTCCCATTTTCTTCAAGTAAATTATATACCTCTTTATCAAAGTACATGCTTACTGTTACAGAACATAAAAGATTTGCTGAAGCGATACTGAACTCAGTGCCAAGCTGGTAACGCAGGCTGTCACTTCAAAGATTGCAATCAAGTGAAAACTTGCCCATTGGCAATAGTTTAAGACCTATAAGATGAACAGTCATTTATGCTGTTAGAAGCCACATGTAGGTGCAACAGCTTTTACAGATATCCCATCATCAACTCATTTTTTGAAAAATCAATTTGTTCAAAATTGCATTTAAGATTTCCTTACATCCCACTGACACTGTTTGCAGTGCTTCAGGGTTAGATCACAGTTTGATGATCTTTATATGTGAAGACATTAGCGTCTGTGTATTCAAAAATCTTATTTAAAATACTATTCCACAAATGTTTCTGTGAAGAGATTTAAGTTCATCCTTCAACAGTGCCTGTGTCTGCTGTATAATAAACTACATTAATAAACTATATCCTGTGGAGAGAAGCTATTGAATGAAATATTAACTGATAAGCAGCATATTTCAAAAGTAATTTTGAAAATGTGAATACAGACATTTGCATTGACAAAGCAATAAGACCAACTAAGTGGCACTATTCTTATCTGAATTATTGTTTCTATTATTTAAAAAAAATCTCTAGAGAAATAATACACAGACGTTTGTTAAAAGAATCCTCTTGTCATGTCAGGATACGAAGGAATATTCGAGAACCTGCTATAATTCACTGCTTCAATGAGAATTATGAAATTGACAAAAACAATTCCAAAAAGAAAAGGTAGTGCCCTTGAATGCAACCTGTGGTATGGCAGGAATAGCCATTGTATTTCCTAATCTAATAGTCTCTGGTTTAAATTATTGTTCACTTATATCTTACTTTAATACTCATTTTGTCAGCATCTTTATGATCCCCTGAAATGCTAAGCTAACAATAATGCTAAGCTAACAATAATGCTAAGCTAACAATAATGCTAAGCTAACAATAAACTACTCTGTGTACATTTGAAAACAAAAAACATAATTTATTACAAACCTCGAAATTGAACATGTTGAGGAGGAAAATCTAGCCTTGACCAACATGTTACTCTGCTTTACTGCTTGTGTGGAATGAACAAAAGATAATATAGGAGCTTAAATAGTACCTGTTACACTTCTATTCAGACATTATCAATTTTTTTTCCTGCTGCACATGTAAAACAGCTGATTATTAAATGAAGTTGATGAGGAATTATTTCACTACATCTCAGAACTGTATAGAATAATCTTAAAATGAAATATAATGGGACAGGAAGAAAAATAATTTGAGTTAAAAATTCAATTGCAAATGTATTCTGAATTTGCGCCAGCATGAAAAACTGAAGATGACTGAACAAAAAGCTGTATATGGGTCCATTGACTAAAAGCACTCAAAATCATTTCCATCTTTATAGCCCTCAGTTTGACTCTATAAAGTGAGTTCATAAGAAGGGGAGATATTTGACTCTACAGACATCATTGTGCCATTTCTGACAACCTCAAGGTGCCTCCTAAAATTGATCCTGATAAAACTTAAAATACAAAAGCTACAAAATAAAACTTAGCATTCCTCCATTTACCTATGCATCTTTTAATAAATACAGCTTTCTTGAAATTAACCTTAAACTTGAAAATCTAAAACTCTTCTGCATAAGACCATGCAAGCACTCCATTTAAGTATGCTCCCTCTCACTGAAATGTTTTCAAACCTAAATGGATCTTGATTTTGAAAACCAGCCTAACCACAGAGGCACAGAGCCTGTGTCATGGTTGTATGATTTTTTGTTATCAGCATTCCACATCATAACATCATGTAGAGCACACCAGGAGTTAAAGAGATAATGCTCCAGTTCTGCGGATTTTGATGTTTTCCAGGCACCTTTCACTGCTCCATTTCCGTTTTCTGTTCAGAGGGAAAGATAAAGAAAAACTGCTCACAATTCACAAGGCAGCCCCTTCTGCTGCTCGTCTCTGCAGTGCGTGCTCCCTAGCTGTCTCGCCCTTAGCTTTAAGAGTAGGGACTTTGCTTTTGGATACTCTCTCCCTCATTTTATCTAATTTATTAGCTTCAATTTAAATTATACGGGATCATATTGTGTTATTGCACATTCTGATATCATGTTTAGTAAATTAGTTTTCTCCATTAGCTTGTTGCCACTGTTTTGTTTTCAAGCCCGTCTCCCTGCCTTTTCTCCCCCTTTTCACCCTTCCTCCTCCCCCAGGGTGAGGGTCCGTGGGTTTCCATGCCCCATTAGTCATGGAACAGGGCCAAACTGGACCTGAAACCATTCACAGCCTGTACAGACTTGTGAAGAACAAACTTACTACAATGCCTTACTATGAATAGATTTAGCACACAGCATACAGAAAATCTATTAGCAAAACTTAACGTCACTTGTAAAAGCAAATTTGCATGAATATCAGTTTTTAAAAGTGCTCTACATAGTTCTTTGCAGTATTTGTAAATCATATGTTTATAGCAAAACAAAGGTTTAATGAATGATATCCCAGTGTGACTGATTATCAAAAGGTTTGCTTTCAGGTTATTAGCAGACAAGACCGTGTTAAGTTATTTCTGGACACCAGTGAAGTCAGAACATACACTATCAAAGTTCACCTAGAAAGAATGCAAGAGCTTGACATTTTAATTTGGTAAGAATACACTAACAGTGATCCACCCTCATTCCACAAAACTGAACACAAAAACACAAAACCCACAAAAGCAAATCAAAAGAGAAAAAAACTGAAAACACGCACTTTTTGAAAAATCTGCATCAATGCATATTCTTCATGTTGAAAGATTTACACAGTGATTTTGTTCAAAACTGCAAATAAAGACAAGTTCACATATACATCATATATTCCTTAAGTATAACAGAAGCATTTATAATTTGAGCAGATGCTGTATATCAGAAAAAATAAGTAACACTGTTTTGAAGATTTGGGAGATGTTGGAAGTATATTTTAAATTGTGCTGAAAAAGGCTAAGTATTTTCTTGAATACTTGACAGATACTTACACAAAAAAGGGCATCAGCTGAATTAGAGTCTCTTTTTTGGGATTGGCTGCAAATTCTGGCACAACTTGAATAACTTTGTTCATTACATTCCTTAGGTAATTTTGCAGCTGTTTGCGACGCTCTTCTACAAATTTTGCATCCTAAAAATAGAAATAACAATGTAAGCGGCGCAAGTAATTTCTTTTAATTTTCAATTCCATTGTTCCATTTCCATTCCATCAATAATAATTGTTCTAATAAGCACCCAATTTAATCTTTTGATGATCCATGCACATTCTGTTTAAAGAAATATGTTGGTGATTTCTAAAAACATGCAAACAAGGAAAGAACACCTCGACCCTGCACTTGAATAAAGACAGTCACATCCAACCTAGCAAAAACCCGTGTCACAAAAACAACCACTGATACTGACTTCTCTCCTTGGCAGAATGTCTCTTTTGTGAGCCAAAATTCTTTTTCCAATAGTAAATCTGCAAAAATCATCAGGTGCTGCAGGCATTGTGATCACCTGGTTTCAATGTCACAGTGAGGTCTTTGGAAACAAAGTCAAAATCACAATTAGCTGCAGTTCTCAAAAGAAGAGTATTTTGTAGGATGTCTGTTCAGCCTGCATTATTTGTGTAAGAAATATGATTGAAACCATTCTGTGTTTCTTGCAAAAATAAAAAGACAACTGAATAATACAGCACTGTAAATACAGTTGACATGCCACCAGAGAATTTCAGTATATTAAAAAGATGAAGTCACTCAGGGGATACGGATTTGAAGATTACTCCTTCCTTGGAAAAACAGACGAATTCATCATCGAAGCAGGGATGCTCCTTTGAATTCAGGACAATCACTACAGAGTTTCTAGAACCCTTACTAACATTTTGTTCTTGTATCTCATTAGAAGTCGGCAGTCATGGTAATATTTTTATGAGACAGAGAGAATGAGAAAGATTCTGAATGGCATTTCCCAAAGTAGACCTTCAAATTCAGAGTCACAAAATCCACCATGTTAACTGAAGCATATTTGCAAATATTGGCAACAAAGACATTCTAAAAAAGCATAAGGTTATTTTCACCTTCAACACTTTCTCTTGACTTTTGTTTGCAGATGAATATTTAACAGCCTGTAATTGTAATTGCTGCAGACGTTCATTTTACAGGCATTAAAATGCTACACAGTGCTTCTTTAAGTTCATAAAATTCTCAAGTACATACAAATATACTTTTTTCTTCGACATTCCCAAGTTCTATTAACACACGGAAGAATCGAGATCAGTAGAGAAATAAGAAAAATGAAAGCAAACAAACACTACCACAACCACGTTATACAGTTCACTGTTTCTTTTCCATCTGTTCCATTACTTTTTTCAGCAAGTTTACTACATTCATGCCCATCCCCCACAGGTCATGCAGCAAATATTTCTGGTATTAAATGACTTACTGAATAATGAAAAACTAAAGCAGCCTGAAAACTCTTGGAAAATGATATTTCATGTAGAAAAGTTCTGAATTGTTAACACCTCCGCAACCCACTCTACAGTCACAGCCCTGCACCCTCAACCTGATACAATCACTGCTTGGTCAGAACAGAGCAACAGCTTGCTCACGCCCAGCAGTACTAATCAAGTCTGGACAAGAGTGCAGAACAGAAGTCTACACAAGCTGTTGGGAAACGTTAAAGCACAAATTTTCACATGTGCTGACACATAGAAGAAATAAATAGAATGTGAGGAATAAATAAATCGAGTCAATTTTCACCAAGATACTCATTTCTCCTGTTCTACTAGTTCTCTGGCTAACTCAAGGAGCAACTTTGCCCTGTTATCTTTTCACTCAAAGGATTTCAATCTCCACACACATCAGTCAAGACACTGATTTGCTACTGCCAGCTGCATGAGGCAGAAGACAGCAAAGCATGTCACAGGGTGTCCCACATCAATCTCAAAAAAAAGCTTTTGTGAAACAACTTCGGTACTGAAAGCCACAGGAACACCAAATGATACTTGGCCCCAGAGAACATTTTATATACGGAGTAATCCTTTCCCCCGCTCTGTGTAGTACAGAGACATGAGGAGCATCACTTTGCAAGCCTGCACCCAGTAGTGAGGCAGCCTCAGGTTTGATCCCTTCCAGTGAACCAGCCTCATTCCCCACTGCACTTTCTTGATTCTGTTTTTATCACTTCCCTCAATATTGTTTTACCAAAGCCCCCCAGATTTTTATTTATTTGTAATACAATCATTAGCAGTTTTTCAATTAGGACCTTTTGGTCACAAGTCCCCAACAACACTATCTGCGGGGAAATCATTTTAATTACATTAAAATCTGTTCTTATGCAGAATCTGCTTTCTTTAATCCCACCTGTTTGCTGCACAGGTATTTAAACAAGTACATTCCCTCTCGCAGGCTGGACCACTACTTCAGTTATAAACACAGGAGCAAAATGCCAAATGCAGGTACTTTCCATTGCTCATCTTAATGTAAAACATGTCACTAAGTACAGATAGTATCTGCACAAAGTCTTCTAGTTAATCTGCCAGAAGATGCTCGGAAAATGCATTTTTGCTATTTACAGTTGATCTAACCAGAGCCCATAACACAGGTTTTTTTTCTGCCATTTCTTTATGTGAAATACTGAAAGGGAAAAAAAAAAAAAAAAAACACAGGAGCTATACTCAACCTTGAAACACAGTTAAAAAAGCTTTTAGCCTGATCTAAATTTAATCTCCAAACTAAGCACTGAGCAATCTGGACCACAACTTGCTTTACCAGACCCACTTTCCTCATCAGAAACAATGTAATCTAGGATCAGAACGATGTAGCTGCACATCCGTACTTTGTCATCACAGACTTCACACCAGCAGATTGGCTACTCGGAAATTACTTTGTCATTGTTACTGCCAGTTAGAGCAGTGACCAAGAGTTCTTGTCACAAGCCCATAAATAAAGCAGTTGGTAAATAAAACACATTGGACCCAATTATCTACCATTGACAATTTAGTATTTCATATACCCACTAACAAAGGATATTTTTACAAGCAATAATTAAAGGAAATTAAAATTAATTAAAAAGGAAACTAAATTAAAGCAGTAACTAAACGGAAAAAAAGGACTCTGTTTCGGACTTACTAGTGAAGTAAAAATACTTTCTGTGGCAACTTTGGCGATTGGACATAAATTTATCTGTCAAAACATGCATATCCAACGACACAAAAAACAGCAAGGATCTTTCTCTAAGATTCAATACATGGAGTTGCACGTGCCCGACCTGCCTGTAATCTGGAGACGAGGTCTTTTGTGTTTTTTTTCAAATTACAAACACATTTACCCTTGCAAAATCTCCAGCATTTCACAGATTAAATGTTAAACACTTTTTTTTTTCTTCCAGAAAGTTCATACATGCCCCAGTACTACGTAAAGGAAGGCATTGTCTCACTGACAATGTTACTAACATGGTTCAAAAAGAGAGCTGCTCTCAGGAATATGTACAGTTACTACTAAAAAGATCTGAAATTCAAGAGAAACATATAGAAGAAAATGAATTAGTAGGATGAATAAATAGTAGGTCTTCTCATTAACAAGGAGCATAAAGAACTTCTTGAATCAAACATCTTATTTTCGAAAAAGACATCACTAACAGGAGTCAAAAAACAGATGATAAAAATAAATACTTGAGTAACTGCAGAATTTTTTTTTTCCCCTAAAAGTACATACCAAAAATGGCACTAGAACCATCCTCACACATATTCAGATCTTTAACTTCAGGAGCTGTAACTATTTACAGAACACAAATTATATATCACTTGAAATTATTACCAAAAAAAAAAAAGTTACTTTATACTAAGCTTTCTTCATTTCAATGTAGAACACAGCGGATCCTTCCATAACCACTTTGGGAACATTCATTTTTAAGCACTTTCTTCCGAGCAACAGGTACAATCTCACTAATTGACTAATTGTGAAACCAAAATGCAAGGCTAACTGGCCCTTTCAGTTCTGCTAAATGTGTCTGGTAGTAAACTGAATGTTGCCTCCAAACTTGAAATTTAACTGTTCCACATAAAACATCTCCTAGTCTGTTCTTGATCAGCCCAATCCTTAAATCCACAGAACTACATGGGGCAAAAGGGTGTTCAAAGCAGACAGGAGCTCTGATTTTAAGATCTGAGATTTCAGTTCAGACAAACTCTTCACACGCTCACCTATTCTATGGACAGCTACTACTGCTCTTTGTAGAGATGCTGAATCTGACTTAGAGCTACCTTTCAGACAGAGGCTGTGTTCTGGCTGAAGAGAAAGCCTCACATATTCAGTGCCACTTGAATTACAACTCATGACAGCATCCAGCAACTAGCTGTGACTCATTTATACAGAAAATACAGACATTCTGACTTAAGTCTATATGCATCTTGGTCACATTCACCATCAGTTCACATAAACTCACAATGCACACAGATTGTTAAATGAGATCTAGCACAGCAGCATAAACACTTGATTTGTAGGCATATTTTACAGAAAAATGAAACTGCTATGAGTTCTGTACAATTACTCTCCCAAATTATTTCCTAGCCCACAGTTCAACAGTATATATTTTTTCATTAACAGTTCACAAAATTGCAGTTAACAACTTTAACTTTAACTTTTAACAACAAAATTGCTTCAGATTGTAGATGCATTAAAGCACAACTGGGAAAATACATCATTCTTCTCGTTTAATTTGGAATTTATATCACCCACAATATTTTATGAAATTGTTTTTGACTGAAAATTTGCCAAATTTCTGCCCACAAGACACCAGTACCAAACTACAAATTTCTAAGAACAAGAAAATACAATATAAATCTTACAGACTGTCAAAAGACATTAAAAGATTTTAAGCTTTAAAAACAAGAAGCAGAGCCTGACATACCAAAATTAACGTTACTGTGTTTTGCAATACTTCATTACAGGCCAAGTTAACTCCAGCTTGCAGTTCAAATCATTTCACACAACTGGTGGTCTTTCAATAGACTGCTATTATGTAGCAGATGGCAAAACACTGATACTCTACACCGTTAGTGGGAAGCTCAGTTAAGGTGATTCAAACATTTTCCATCAACTGTTGAAAATGGTATGATTGCCATGGTTACCTGCCATGATTTAAGGACAGACAAAACACGTTCTGGTTTGCTGCTGCTGCTGCAAACAATATAAAACCTCCTGTTTCTGATGCTCTAAATACCAGTTATTATTTAACTAACCTATTGTTAGTGCAAGGGTTAAAAAACAAAAAACAAAAAAAACACACAGCTCAGGGTTCAACTCAACTCAATTAAAAGTAAATACAGCTTAGGACCTTAACAAGAACTGTATCAGCCTCTGCATTATCACATCTAGAATCCTTTCTTAAATAAACCAAACAATAGTGCTATTATAGAAACCCCATGCAGAAATAAGATTCTTTTGGTGAACCTTAGTATTTCGCACCAGTTTGGTTAATCAGCCTTTAAGAAATTACATCATTTTTTCTTCACAAGATGTACACCTCTAAATGAAGCTGAAAATCAGAGCTAGAATAGGAACTAAATCAATTGCTGATCTACTCCCATCATCTCATTACTATTATGCCAAAATAAGTCATCTTCAAATTATGAAGTTACACTTCCATCCTAGTTGTAAAACCAATTTCTGTACAGCAGAAAAAAACTAGCATTGCAAGACAAAACATGAGCACAGAATGCATGGAATTACCAGAAGTGACTATCCCACTGAGTGACTTTCTGTACATTTCTTGCTCAATGAAACAAACAGGAATTCAAGGGGATAAGATACGAAGAATAAATCAAGGAAGATCTTTTTTTCCACTGGAGTTTCTACGTGATGGTAATCATTACTCCGGATTTCTCTTACCAAAACAGCTGACTCATTTTCAACTCTACCCTTCTACTCTACTTCATTTTACTGACCCCAGAAAAAAAGCAATCCTTTTCGATAAGTAATTTGACAGCAACGCTTTCATTAGCATTTCTAATTGCGTGATTTCTGGGACATCTCCTACCACATTGCACAGAGCTGCCCAGTAAAGCCCAGCTTCACTGCAGATGACTACTTGGTCACACTGTTCTGGTGTAAGCTCTATCTACACCTCACAAAAATGTCAGTTCCCTACTCCCCCCCCCCCCCCCCCCCATGGTAATTTTTGAAAGAACTCTTATTTTGAGTAAGAGAGCAGTTTATATATCACTGCATGACCTAACTGGCCATACTAAGATTTTACTCATGCTTTCTTAGAACATATAACATGGCTGATTAGGTCTTCTCCAAGCACAAGCACGTTAATAGATATGTAGAAATGTACTTGAACCATGGGAATTCCACTAGCCCCATAAAAACAGCTAGAATTCCTTTTCAGAGTAAGCCTGGAACCTTAATCGTAAGCTACTCAGCATTTTCAAGCAAGCCTGCATCCAGCCAAAAGGATAAGCCTTCTCAAAGCCCACACTGAGAAAAAGTGTTTAATGTGGAAAAAAATATGTATCAACAAAAAAGAGAAAGCTTAAGAACAAAGCCAGAACTAATCTGTTTTCAGTGCTGTGCTTAATTCCACTGCTGGAAACATTCAATTGGTAATGTTATGCTAACAAAATCCAGACTCATCTAAATATTTTATTATTTAAAAGCATAAATGTTCACTACATCTATTTGTAAACTGGTTAGGAATCAAATGTTCATTAAGAAAAACATACAAAACTGCAGCCTACAGCATTACCCCTAGGGCTTCTATCTTTGCTCACCTGTCAAGCAGGGAAATTTTATTTCTATTTTCTCCTTAGTCTTAGTGTGTGTCAGTCTACTGTTTATTCAGGAGCTTCTATAGGTCTTCCCTATACTTTGTATATAACACCATAGAAATAAGCTTCCATGATAAACTGAGGGGAACTGATGTAAATGCATCACTTTGTGATTTCCATGCTCTTCACAGCAAGTAGCCAGAAAAGTAATCACTAATCAATACCATTTGCACAATTGGTTAATATCTCACCATAGCACTCTTTCAGGAGAGCAATGGATGGCACCTAGCAAACAGTAACTTTTTCTAAGAACTGATATGATGAAAATGATTGTGGGTTTTTACATGACTATGGGAGAATTTTAGTCCAAAGCTAATGCATTGAAAGCAATACAAAAACTTTAATGACTTGCTCAACTGTTACTTCTGTAGTTATCAATTGTGTAACTAAAATAATAATTTAATTAGTATGTGAAGTAATTAGGATGAAAGAGTATAAAGAGAGCTTAAAAGAAGTCCTTCCTTATTTATCGAGGTGGCCAATGTGCAACCGCTTAAAAAAAAAAAAAAAAAAAAGAATCAGCATCCAGTGGTTTAATACAGAAGTTTTAAAGTTATAAGCGTGATTTAATCCCCTTGTATTTTACTTGTGATAGTTAGATTTAGTTTTCAGATTATTTATTCACTGTAAAGATTAACAACTTAAATCAGCTTTCAGGATGTATATTGAAGATTTTTGCCTTATATTAAAACTATTAAACATCCTAGAGTTTTGGTAATCAAGAATTGAATAATGTACTTTGGAAAAACCTTCTCTCATTTAAGGTCTTCAAAAGGATGAACATTTTTACTGTATCATCGGTGTAGTCACAACAGATAAATAGCCCAAGCTTTTAAGTGACATTAAGCCTTCAGAATATTTGCATCTACTTTTTCTTAATCAGAAACTCTTTTAATTCTTTCCAGTTTAAGGACAGAATGCTGTCAAATTAGCATTAAAACATATAATCATGCTCTGATATCCTGGCTTCTTGTCTAATACATATCAAGAAGTTATAGAACTATAAAAATTCTCTTTCCTCCCTTCCTTTCTCCCTTCAAAAAAAAAAAAATGCAGTTCTAATGCTTATGCTGTCCATAAAAATAATGTATAGTTTTAAAAATTGCTCAGAAATTCTCTGACTCATAGTCAATGTGCACTTAGGGAAAATGATAATCATCTTTTTTTACATGTGTGAAGGAAAGGTTACTTTCTGAACTCTTACTGATACTATGAATTAATTTAATTACCTTATTTCCAATAGCTTTTTTTGGTGGAAAGTTAAAAGTCCTCACTTGGTGGTATTTATTCTGTAATTTATGATGCAAGCTTCTGAACTCTGCATATCTTCGATAAACATTCCATTCATCGTCCTTTATTCTTATATAAACCTGCAAAACATAGACATGAAAGAAAATATTTTTTTTCCCTAATTCTTAGGCTATTTTCCAACTATTTTAACTTGCAATCCATTTCCTCCTCTTCTTAAGATTTCTGTCTTTGATGAAACACTATGCTGGCTCACATATACATGAAGATCAACAGGCACATCTGGCCAGAAGAGTAGATCCCAAGCTGCATTTCCACTGCATCACTTCTTACCCATAAAGACTTGTAGTTTCAGATACTGCTCTCCTCCCTCACTTTTAGGCTTCATCTCCATGAAAGTTTTTCTCCCTGCTTGAGGAGCAGCATTCAAGTACTGCGACACCCCCCTCCCCCCCAAAGACCATTTGAAGTACATAACATAAAAGGAAACATAAGGAAACATATGAATCAGTCAGTATTAAACAGGAAGTCTGTTGAGCTGCAAAGGATTTTAAACATCAGAGGAATGGTTATTGATGATAATCTTTGGTGAGCTTATAAGCTTATGAGCAATAACAGCCTTACCTGATTAGGGCATGTTCATCTTTAATCTTATTATGTGCAACTTAAAAATGTTTATTACTCTGCAAATAAGGGAGATTTGCAAGTAGCCACGTAAATATTGGAATCTTGTTAAGAATCACAAAATCAGTTTCATTATCTTAAGTTTCAGCCACTGGTAATAATGGAATTCAGCATGTTTTGTTTCTATTTGCTGTACACTTCACATGGAAGTGAAGTATGTATCTACCAAATACCAATATCCCACAGTTGAGAAATACAACAAAATAATATTATTGCAGTAGCCATCTTGCATCGTCACTAAACGAAACTGCAACTAATGACCACCACCTAGAGGCAAAATATAAATGCAAACTTACATTTTTTAATTCTGGTCTGGGCTCTGTCTTAGTCCCTGGGAATACAAGAAATTATTTTCTAACAGTAGGCTGACTGACCAACATCTGGCTATCAAAAAATATTCACCAGAAGAATGGTATAAAGTGATGGAAAGTGCAACAACGACAGCAGAGCAGCAAAATCCCAAGCTGCAGCAAGCAAGGAGTCTCACAAAAACAGCAGCAGGCACAGAAATAAGAGAAGGAAGCTGGTTACCTTTAGAAAACCTCAGGCAGGGATCTCCAGAGAGCTCCCCTCACCACCACTGCCAATACTTAAATGATCCCACCTGGGAAGGGGTGGATCCTGGCTCCACCCTTCCATCACTCAGTGCATTCCATTGCATGCACCTGAGCTCCCATGGGCTGGACCTGCCTTCCCACCAGGTGCACCATCACCGGCTCAAGCTATGACTTGCATTTCCACAACAAATGGTCATCAAACTGTACAGGTCATGAACATAAGTCACCAGAAAACACCTTTCTAACCAAAAAAGGAATAAATAATCCCCATGAATTACTGAAACATAATAAGGATAGGAATGGTTCATTGAATTCACATCCCTCTGCTCAGGTGCAAAACTAATTACAATACTGATTTGCACTAATACATGGCAAGGCAATATTCAAGATACAAGCCCAAAGAAAAACAAAGCACAGCAAGTATAGAGAGGCTGTGCTTCTGAATAAGTTAGAATGAGCGTGTACTGGAAGGAAAGGTTTACTAATCATATTTATTTCCATTTTAGGTCTGCATTAGACTTTATCATAGTATCACAACAGCAACTCATGTTTGGTTAATCCTACATTATGATCTCCAAGTTTCTTCAGCTGGCCAGCTTCTGCAAGGCATACTGATCACAACACACCATTCAGAAAATTCTCTGGTGAATTCTGAAATTTATTTCTCAGATTTTAGTATTTTGTGTTCATTTTCAGATAAACACTGTGTGTGTAGGTGCATGTAGGTGTATCCAGAAATGTTTTCCATCTTCCAAAACAGAGCTACTTAAGAGATCTGATAAAAACAAAAAAGTGACATCTGTGTTTTGCTTGATTTTTCTTCAATTTAATTAGCCCAATAATTTTTTAGATCCACGTGAATTTAAAGTATTTGCAAACTCTGAGGTAAGAAGTCTCAAATTTCTCTCCAGTTATGTTGGAAGAAAAAAACACCGTTGGAATTTTTTTGTTTCGTTTTGTTAAGTTCAACCTACTAATTTCAATAGATGCTCTAATTTATATATTGAAACAGATAAAAATCTCTCCACACCTTTCATGATATGAAAGATTGCTACTGTACTCTAATTACTAGTTTAAGGAATTCTACCTTATTTCAGTTCCTATTCCCACCACAAATATCTGCTCTTCTGTATATGTAAAGCCTTCTCTACTTTTCAGTTTATAAATTCTCCTGTGATCATTAAGTGCCAATAACCGAGTCCCACATTTAAATTCGTCCCTCCTGTGAAAGCTTCCTTTATTCCAGAAACATGAAATTCTGATCCAAACCGTTTCTTCTTCAAATTTTATTTCATTCATGTGCCAAAATATTGGATCTCCACCACTCTGATGTCCTTTACACACTCCTTAACCCTGTGTCACCAATTACCAAATGGACTGATATCTTCCGCAAGATTTCTTAGATACTGATCCAAAAATGTGACGTATATCCTTCTCCACTTACAGGCAAATTTCCTTGTGTTACTCTAAAGAATGACAAAATTGAATTCCATAACACACAGCTACCTCTTGTCAGCAGGACTCTCCATCTTCAGATGACTACTCACAGTGCAAGAGGAAAGAAATCCATAAGTGCCTGTTTGATTTTAAAAGCTCTATGTCACAAATGCCAAGGTTTCTTTATCGTTATTTATTGCTGTTATCTGGATGTTGACCTACTACTGTGAAATGGTGATATTTCAGAAAAAAAAAGAAAAAAATTTAAGGGAACCTCATAAATGCAATTAAGTGCACAACCAATTTGATCGCTCTTTTTCACTAAAATGATACACTACCTAACAGTTTCAATGTCCACAGCTTACTGATACAAGTAGATGGCTTTTGTTAATTTCAAAGAAAATTCTAGACAGTGCTAAGATGTGAGTGCTTGTTATTCTGCTTCTCACAACGGTACCCTTCAACTCAGTCTGAGCACAAGATGTAGCTGTTTCTAGAGCAGGTCTTTAAATTCTTAAGATTTGTAACCACTAAATGCTGCCAGTTAATTTCTGGTACAGGAACGTGATGCAACTCTGTAAATACAGAGATCTGCTTTAAATTTCCACATCTAATGAGATTCATTACAAAACATTGCTTGCCATAGGAGTGCATAGCTTCATTTCCGAGACCTAATCAGTATCTAAAGGGGAGCTACAGGAAAGAAGGGGACAAACTGTTTAGAAGGGTCTGTGGTAACAGAACAATGGGAAATGGGTTCAAACTTAAAGATGGTGATTTAGGTTAAATATGAAAAAGTCTTTTACGGTGAGGGTGGTGAGGCACTGGAACAGGCTGCCCAGTGTTGTGGTTGATGCCCCATCCCCGGAGACTTTCAAGGCGAGGCTGGATCAGGCCCTAGGCAACCTGATCTAGCTTTGGTGTCCCTGATCAGTGCAGGGAAGTTGGACTAGATGACCTTTAAAGGTCCCTCCAGACTCTAAGGATTCCATGATTCTACCATACTAAAGAGCTTTACAGATAAAATCTAATTTTAAAGCAGGCTAAGCATTGTTCCCAATAGCTTTAAGTACAGTCATAAACAGTATATCTGAGATTTACACTTACTCAAAACAAGTTTCCAACTTCACCTGTTCCAATTGGCACATTTCAGCTTCCTTTATTTATTCGACAACTTCTTCCCACAATTAGCAGTCAGTTTTTATGCCCAAGGTTCCTCAAGAACTCAGAAAAATTTGAACTCCAAAATATATTGGAAACAATCCCAGTAATATCAACATGCTACAATACTGCTACCAAGAATGATGTATTGCAAACAGATTTCTCACACAGCTGATACAAAGAATTGTAATTGCGTTTTTTACTTTCTGCCATTGGAGAAACAAATGATAAAGCAGCAATAACAAACTGTATTATAAATACATTGACTCTCATAAATGAGCTCGGCCATTTATCTTGTTTGTTACTCCCAGTCCTCAGCTGTTCATTTCATACTGATAGCTTGGTGAATACATTCTTCCACTATTTCAACATTGAATTAAATTCCCTGTATGAGAAGCACATGTTTTGGCAGATAAATTCATAGTGATGTTTTTGAAGGTATTCTGACTTTATATAAATTAATGCTTTCTTGATATCTAAAAAATACAGAATACATATTCAGCCTGCACATGACTTTATAGCTGAACCTAGATGTAGTCACCACTTCAACTCTAAGTATTCACCATAGAATCATAGAATGGCTTGGGTTGAAAAGGACCACAAAGATAGTCTAGTTCCAATCCCCCCTGCTGTGTGCAGGTCATCAACCAGCAGCCCAGGCTGCCCAGAGCCACATCCAGCCTGGCCTTGAATGCCTGCAGGGATGGGGCATCCACAGCCTCCTTGGGCAACCTGTGCCAGTGCCTCACCACCCTCTGGATAGAAAAACTTCCTCCTAATATCTAACCCAAACCTTCCCTGTCTCAATTCAAAACCATTCCCCCTTGTTCTATCACTGTCCACCCTCACAAACGACCATTCCTCCTCCTTTTTATACACTCCCTTCAAATACTAGAAGGCCACAATGAGGTCTCTCAGGAGCCTTCTCTTCTCCAAACTAAACAAGCCCAGTTCCCTCAACCTTTCCTCATAGGAGAGGTGCTCCAGCCCATAGTGAGATACACATTTGTGTACATACACATGTCTACACTTCAATATATAATGGATGCACACAGGCACGTAAAAATAGAATGTAGGCCTATTTTTTGGTAAACTCTTTTTTCTCCCCTCCCTTTAGTGTCAGAAAACAGTTATTTGCCTAACACACAATGATCTTAGTCATACAGAGATGAAAAATTGCTAGGAATACCATTGATATATCCTTCATAAGGAAAGATCTTAACAGATACTGAGAGCAAACTTTAAGAAAAATGACAGATGTTTCAGGTTATTTCTATAATTAGTTCCTGCTCACTTCTAACAAAAGATATCCTATGTCTTTTTACACAGTTGCTTCTACCTTTTCATGTTACATATCTTTGGTATCTTTGCACTGTCAACAGACAAAAAGAATACTCAGAAAAATGATCTGTACATTTTTCAAACAATTTTTTCATATCCAATATCATAAGAATATACTGCAGAAATAAGAAAATTCTCAAAATTGTCTTTTTGACATTGTAAAACGTCAAGTATTTTAGAATCTTGCTATGATATTGGCTTTATTTTTTCCTTGTTTGAGGCCCACTCTAACAGTCAGAATTCTTTGTTCTTCATTAATGATACTCATTAATGATGAGCAACTGATGAAATCTATTCAAAGCCACTCCATAGCAGCAGAATGTATTTTCCAAACTCCATGAGGCTTTGGATAAAGCTCGGAAACTCTTCCATCCTGGGAAATATTTTTTTCCAATAAAATAAAGAAACTTCATGCCAAATATCTCCAATACACATGAATTTCACATGTTCTCAAGCTTTCAAGATTTCTTCTTACGATCAAGCACAATCAAATCGTCAAAAAAAAAAAAAAAAACAAACAAAACTACAGGGGCTGCTCCAAAAGTAATGTCTCCTATTTTATTACATTGTCTCACAATATCAGAAGCAGATGTTGAGGGCATGGCAGTAGAGGTTGAATCTTCCTGCCAATATCCCATTATATTTTATTGCCATGCAAGAGATGGCAGCACAAGGGCAGTCTGACAAAATGTCATCTGACACGGTAATGCATATGAAGCAAAGGCATGGAACTGAATTCCTTCATGATGGAAAAATAGCTTGCACTGATATTCATTAATGATTTCAAAACATTTATGGAGACCAAACAGTGGATGTTAGCACAGTGAGGCAACGGGTGGCACCTTCCAGCAGGGGTGACAGCAACAGATTTTTATGAGATCAGCACATAGGCTCTTGCTTATTACTAACCAAAATGCATAGCTAATGTTGGTGACTATGTTGAAAAACAGCATCCCGTAGTCGAGAACTTTCCCTATGTACTGATGGTGTACTGATGGACAGTCAGCTGAATGAGCCAGCAGTGTGCCCAGGTGGCCAAGAAGGCTAATGGCATCCTGGCTTGGATCAGGAATGGAGTGGTGAGCAGGACTAGGGAAGTAATCCTACCCCTTTACTTGGCACTGGTGAGGCCTCATCTCAAGTATTATGTTCAGTTTTGGGCACAGAAAAGACATGGAGATACTAGAGCAAGTTCAAAGAAGGGCAACAAGGCTTGTGAAGGCCTTGGAGAATAGGGCCGATGCAGAAAAACTGAAGGAACTGGGGCTGTTTGGTCCAGGGAAAAGGAAGCTGAGGGGAGACCTTGCTGCTCTCTTCCAATACCTGAAAGGTAACTACAGCAAGAGCGGGGCCGGTCTCTTCTCACTGGTGACAGGATGAGGGGAAACGGCCTCAAGTAGCGCTAGGGTAAGTTTGAAGTTGGATATTAGGAAACACTTCTTCACAGAAAGGTTGTTAAGCAGTGGAATAGGTGACCTAAGGATTTGAGTCACCACCCCTGGAAGTGCTTAAAATCCATTTGGAGGTGCTCAGGGACATGATTTAGCAGAGGGCTGTTAGTTAGAGTAATATGGTTAGATCGCAGTTGGACTTGATGATCTGTAAAGTCTTTTCCAACCTGAGTGATTCTATGATTTTATCAAATAGTGCTTACTGTGCTCAGAGGAGGCATTACTTTTGGAATGACCTTCTACATTTCATAAGAAGTTACCAGTAAGAATAAACAAAATTCTTCAAACATCTAAGCAAAATAGTAACGAATGTGTCCTATGTTTCAGTGAAGCAGAATATCATTAAAGATATTTATTTACTTATTTATATTGTGTGAAATACAAACTAAGATTTTATAAAAGACAAGTCATTTGGACTATCTCCAACAAAATTGCACTGAGATCCATTTCAGTCAGAAACTTTACTATAGCATCTATGTTAAGAAGAATTACTTACTTGATAAACATGGAATGCATTAGCAGCTTTTCCACGCAGAAAGACTGAGGGAATCCAAACATTAATAAGAGCTCGATTTGATCTGAGTAGATAAGAGAACTACTTAAAACAGGGAAAATAGAAAAACATGTTTAGGCATTAAAATTGCAAAGTTCCTGTTGTAGTTTAAGCCATCAGGTGGCTCAGCACCACAGTCATTAATTAACCCCCCCTTCCCAGTGAGACAGGGAAGAGAACAGAGAAAAAAAAAGAGTAGAACTCACGGGTTCTATAAAACTATTTTCTACAACAGAAAAAAGGAAAAGGACAATAGTTACGACTATATCTATATGTATGAATAATAAGAAGTGATGCACAAGTAATTGCTCACCATCCCCCAACCAATGCCCAACTAGCCCCCAAAGCAGTAGAAGAGATAGAGATGAATTTCTCCCCCTCTTCAGAGCTCCTTCTACATAATATTATATAGTATAGAATAATCCTTTGGACAGTTCAAGTCAACTGTACTAATTCCATTACTTCTCAGCTCCTTGGACCTTCTGCTTCGTGTAACACTGCTTAGCAGAAACTATAAACAGTGTTGTGTTATCAATGCTGTTTTTCTCCTAGAACCAAAACCAGCATCACACCAGATATCATTACACAGAAAAAAATACCATCCCAGATGAAAGAAAGGCAGCTCCACAAAATTAACATAACTGGGAAAGAAAAACGGAAGCAAATTTATTATTTAAAAAAAAAAAAAAAAACAATGTAGTCAATAACATTTGATTATTAATTTCAACAAGATCAAAATCTTGGTCCATACAGCATACTCAACAGCAAAGATAAGAGTTCATTAAAAAACAGAAGAGCATTGGATAATTACAGAGAAGCCACTCCCCTCACAATTAATTTCCAGGTTTCTACACTATAAAGACACCAGCGACACCATTCACAAAAAGCTAGATTCATTCATCAAAATCACACCACTTGGATAGGTGATGACCTACTGTATTTTTTTTTTTTGTAGTGCTATTTGTATGCAATGAGATGAGAAGATAAGAAGGATCACCACACTATAAATCTACCATCTATCAAAATCAGAACAATAGAAAACAGTAACTTCTTGGTGTTACTTTAGAATACTAAGTTCTAGGACACTGGATGAACATTTCAAGAAGATCTTCATGAATCTAAACTTCCTGTTTAACTTCATTAAACACTGTACCAGGGCATGGACTGTACAACTCTCCACATTTATTTTTTTTTTTTTTAAACAATGAAGCACCACATCAGAGAATTCAGTTTTTTGAAATAACATAGTAAAGGAAATAAATTATTTATTTGCATATTTTTCTTTCCCATAAATGCACAAAAGATGCATATCAGAAACTTACATTTCAAAGTCTGACAGACTCTGATCTTCAGATGTTTGACTCAAATCTCCAGGGACCTATATTTACATAACAGAAATCACATGCTGATTATTATGCTTTCTACATATAATATTATAAGAAAACTAAAATTCAACACTCAAGTTGAAAATCCCAATAAAAACTATTACTAAGAAACAATCATGCCACAGCAGCTTAAACATATCACACTTGCAAGGTCTTTATGTTATAACTGCTTTGAGAATGAGCAAATCTGGCTTTGTAAAAGGAAGGCATTTTTAATTTTTTTTTTTTATTTTATTTTTTTTTTTTTTTGAGAATCTTAGAGACAAATATAATAGATTGAGAGCAAGTTGAATTCAGCTGTTAGGAGGCCATTATAGCCACTGTCTTCAGAAAAATACATTAGAAAAAAATACTAAATTAGCGATGCTATCCATTGATTAATTGATTGAAATTTCATATGGGATCGCTCTCCATTCAAATCCTATCTCCACGTGCTCTATGACAGCCCATAACGCCCGCAGGCTGCACCGCCACGGCACTCGGGAATAAAACCATGGCTGCACACAGACAAAACACCCTCGGCAAACACCGGACAGCCCAAGGCGAGGTGACCAGAGGCCACAGACAGCGCCGCAGGGCATCCCTGGCTGCAGGCAGGCAGAGCCATGTTTCGCCCTCCCCGCCGTGCCCTGGGGCATTACTGGGGCCTTACTGGGCGCTGTTCCCGGGCCTTACCCGGCCGACCCCCAACACCCCCCTTAGTGGCAGGTGAATGAATTTCACTTCATTTTAAGTTGTAGTTTGTAATAAACTTCGATATGATTAGTCCTCAGCAAATGGCAAGTTTCAACCTCTATTGCCATCTCATTAACATCTGCCTCTGCTGTTGTGGGCCAACATAATAAAATGGGCATTACTTATGGATCAGACCTCGAATAAGGGATTTTAGCTCATGATACAAAGGGAGGGATAAAAATAAAAGGAGGAAAAAAAAGGAAAGTGCAATGTCTAAAGAAACAGAACAGAAATACCAGGTTTTCATAGAATTTTTTAAAAATGACTGAGTATAACACCTACAATTTCATTGCTTCTAGGTGCCTTACAAAACTTTAGAACAGCAATTGCTGATCTCCGTAGATTTATGGATATAGGTGACCTCATACTTTGAAACCTATCAATTATTTCATGTTGTTCAACCTTTAAAACAAAGCTCAGTTAAAAAAATTAAAACCCTTATATTTGAATACTTCAAGCAATTTTATTGTCTGAACATATCTGCCTTACATTCAATACTGCTGAAGAGAACGAAAGTATCAAAAATACCAAATAAGGTACTCTTGGTTGATGTTTCACCAGCTGCTATTTCTGATAAGCCGATACAGATTTTACTTCAACATGAGTAACAGTTGTGAGTTAAGTCAAGAATGATATTCCTCTATTTCGTAAACAAACTCTTACCGGCCCTCTCAAATCAATTAGCTCCTGTCTCATCTGGGACACAAGAGCTTCTTTAGCCATTAGAGCACGGTGCAGCCTCTCATTAAACTCGATCAATTCCCCATGCATTTCGGCCACCTGAAAAACATAATCCAGAGATAAACGTGTCCTAAACTGAAAAAAATTACTCCTATCAGCATTACTAGACTACAAAGTTGAATGAAAGCTTCAGTTCTGAGATGATCTATCAATACCTAATATATCTGGCAATGGATTTGTCTTGAATGGACAATGGTGCTTGTAAGCCTTACAGAAAGGAAACATGAGCCAAAAAGAATTCGTAGAATTATTTTCAAGACAGAAAAAAAGACTCCATTTAGAAAATCCTACTATTAGAAGTTTTCAAGTAAGTAAATTATTTCTACATTCTCTATAAAAAGGTAATGCTGACGTGGACCAGAATCATAGAATGCAAGGTAAGCACTCCTAAGGCATAGCAAGAAAAGCTACACTGAGGAGAAGTCAAAAAACAGCAACAGGTTGGCCCTGGTAGTGGACATAGTGGACTACGGTAAGAATACAGTTAAGCGTTATAATTTTCAGGTTACAGCAACTCTTGCAACATCTCAAAGAGCCATCAAAACTAGGAGAATACAGAGGATTATGGGATAATATTAATAGGAGCAGAGTGAAATAGGATAAACCTCAATCCTCTACTTCAGCAATAGCACAGTGACTTGGATTTTTGCTGAATGTCTTTAGAGTTCATACTTTTCTTTCTGGAGATAGATCACTCCACTTCAGGCTTTCCAGGCTGAGATCACAGAATAACAGAATTGCAGGGGTTAGAAGACACATATTGGGATCATTAAGTTCCCTGCTAAATCAGGTTTCCCTACAGCAGGTTGCTCAGGAAGGCATCCAAGCTGGTTTTGGATATGTAGATTAAGCAATAAAATAATTCCAGTAACTCTGGGTAAATTATTTTCAAACTAGCTTAACCACTCATTGCAATTCAAAGTGTCTGGTGTTGCATTTAAGAATATTTAATACAAAGTAATATAATATTTAAAATAATGTAAGAATACTTAAGAATATAATAAACTCCTCTCTGATTTATGTTAATATTCACAAAAAGTTCAGCTGATGTGCTAGAGGAAAAGGATGTTATTCAGAGGGCCCTTGCCAACCTCATCCAGTTCAACAAGGCTAAGTGCAAGGTCCTGCACCTGGGTCAGGGCAATCCCAAGCACGAATACCAGTAGGGCAAGAGAATGGCTTGAGAGCAGCCCCAAGAAGGATTTGGAGATGCCGATTGATGAAAGATTCAAGATGAGCCAACAATGTGCACTTGCAGCCCAGAAAATCAAACGTATCCTGGGTTGCATGAAGTGCTACCAGCAGAGTGAGGGATGTGATTCTGCCCTTCTGTTCTCTGTTCTCAGGAGACACAGTCTAGAGTACTGCACCCATTTCTGGGGCCCCAACACACAAAGGACATGTTGGAGCAGGGCCAGAGGTGGGCCACTGAGATGATCAGAGTGCTGGAGCACCTCCTCCACAAGGACAAGCTGAAAGAGCTGGGGCTCTTCAACCTGGAGAAGAGAAGGCTCTGAGGAGACCTTATAGTGGCCTTCCAGTATCTGAAGAGGGCCTACAGGAAAGCTGGGGAAGGACTTTTTATAAGGGCAGGTAGCAGCAGGATGAGGATAAACAGCTTTAAACCTGAGAGTGATAGATTCAGACTAAATTTTCGAAAGAAATTCTGAGTGTGGTGTGACATTGGAACAGGTTGTCCAGTGATGTTGTGGATGCTCGTGCCCTGGAAGCATCGAAAGCCAGGCTGGATGGGACTTTGAGCAACACGGTATAGAGGGAAGGGTCCATGCCTATAGCAGGGGGTTGGAACTAGATCTTAAAAGGTCCTTTCCAACCCAAACCATTCTATGATTTATTTCTATTAAAATGTTCAATATTTAATAGGAGATTTGGTTATTAAACTCCATTACTTCAACCTGGGAAGTCATTTATATTCAAACCTAAGATGAATCCATAATCTTTCTCTCTTTTTTGTTTTTACTTTTTTTTTTTGTTTTTTAAAGCAATTAATGAATTATATGTTACTTTACAAAAGAGAATCTTGTATTAGGAACTTTTTCCAACATGATGACATCAACTGAACTGGTAGCTTCCATCAAGAATTTCCATAACACAATCAGAAAAGATCCAATCAGAAAGTTGTACAAACGCTTAAAAAAAATATATATATATATGTATTTCATTATGTTCTTGGGAATCTTTAAAGTTCAATTCATAAAACAATGAAGCTTATGAACAACGTGCTGTAGCTTATACAATGCCCAAAACCTACTGTCTGACCACTTCATTGCCATCAATTATAACCTTAAGGAACTTGCTTATTAAAAATCTTCATAAAAGCAGTATTTCTTAATGCAGTAAAATAAATCAGTTCAAAATTGATGCATGAAATCACTGTTAGGCTAAAAAATAACATAATTAAACAAATATAGCTTTTTTTTTTATTGTAAGCAATGTCACATTCTTATACCAATCAATTTTAATAATATGAATATATATCTGTAAGTGTTTCAATCACATGAATTGCTTTAAATTAGCTTTGAAGTTGAATTAATAAACCTGCATGTTAACCACAGAAGTATGAAAATAAAGTTTTTAATTTTTAGAACAAAAACAAAATTTTATTTTAGACTAATGGGGGAAAAAAGCTAAAGATAGAAAACGTTTACAGCTTCAAATGCTATGTTATCATTACTACCCCTCAGAAGTTATGCAGCATACTTTACCTCAATCAATTTTCTTTCATAAGAGCTGGCTAGTTCCTCATTGTTTTCTACTTGCTTTTGCTCTGGAATATTAAGTTCACCATCAGTGCTCCAAATGTTTGGCAAAACTAAAAACAAAGAGATACCTCAAATTAAAAACATTAGATTACATAATACAAACTGTTTCAAAGTAGCAGTTGTAAAAGAAACAGTTCTTAGAAGCATCAAAATTGGATGTAATGTTAAACAGTATTACAAATACTACAATGAAATGCTGCAGGGAACTTTCTAGTATGCACTGTTAGACAAGTTCTCTAATCTTCACAGGAAAAAAATAAAAGCTAGAAGAATCTGGCTATTTTGTGACTACAGCTACATAGGTAGCAACTCCTGCTCCTACCAGTACCCTTTGAAAACTAAGCTTATGTTTTGTTTTTCTTTTTTGTAATTACTGTTCCAAAACATCATTTCATATTACTTGCACAGAACTATTCTGCACAACATCATAGTAATCACAGATAACAGGGCTGAGAAATGACATTTCCAGCCTTCACGTGACATTTCATCCCTTTGCATACAGCAGAATCAGCTGTATTTATTTTATTCTTTACAGTTAGTTGTCTAATTTATTCTTAGAAGCCTTCAATAAAGAAGATTTCATGCTTCTGTGCACAACTTATTTGAATGCAAGTATTCTTTTCAGAAAAGGTTTTCTTGTAGTTAATCAAACTTGCTCCACTTGCCACTTAAGCCCATTACTTCCCATCCACAGCAAATGAAAACTGGTTTATTCTATTCCAGTTCCTAGCTACCACTTACATATTTGAAGATCACTTGAAGGTCTAAGTAAATCTCCTCCAAATTACACAAACTCCAACTCAAACTTATCTTCACAGATCATGAATTTCCAGAAAGAAACAAGTCTGTGCATGTAAACTAAGTAAGTCCCAATAGAAGAGATCTAATAAATGCTTTTATTATTTTCCAAAATCTAGACTACACGTACAATCACAATAAAGTATGTAGAAGACACCATAATTCATCTCAGTACTGTCCCGTCTGGAAAATGACTTTATCTTCAAATAAGAATATGTATATATTCAGAAGTCAGTTTGCATTTGAAGTGAGTTTTGAAAGCTACTTCAAGATCTAATTCTTGTAAATCTTGCTTGAAGTTCTTTGAATAGAAACTTCTAAGATCAGCATTTCATATCAGCATAAAATTTGATTATAGATCTTTCCTTAGCAACAATTCTGCATAAGACTTCCACAATTTGATGAAAGCTGTCTCTGCACAGTCAGTATTCCCTTTACATTTTTACATCTCTCACTTGCAAAAAAACCACAGGATACTACAGCAATGACATACCATATTTTATCATAGCTACTTTTACGCTTACTCTACTCAAAGTAAACAAAAACCAAAGGCAGCAAGAAAACTAATATGATAGGCAAAGACAGAAAAAAAAAAAAAAAACCAGCAAGGCATAAGAAGCTAAGATCAATTTTACCAAAGAAAAGCATGCATTACTTCATAACAGAGCCTCTAATTTATCACGGTTTCTCCAAACCAACATTTACTAACTGCAATCTTGTGGCTATTGAGAACGATGACAGTCACAAAGGCTAGTAAGCGACTATTAATCATATACTATGCTTTCCTTATTTGTCCACTACCAGCACAGAGAGAACCCATTGGATAGTTTCATTACAGAATACCTCCTCCACAGATAAATTTGTTAAATACAGAATCACAAAATGGCCAGAGTTGGAAGGGACCTCAAGGATCATGAATCTCCAACCTCCCCAACATGCAGGGCCACCAACCTCCACATTCAGTACAAGACCAGGCTGCCCAGGGCCCCGTCCAACCTGGCCTTGAACACCTCCAGGGACGGGGCATCCACAGCCTCTCTGAGCAGCTGTTCCAGCTCCTCACCACTCTCCTTGTGAAGAATTTCCCACTGACATCCAACCTAAATCTTCCCTCCCTCAACTTCAAACCATTTCCCTTTGTCCTGCAGTTATCAATCCTTTCAAAGAGTTGATTCCCCTCTTGTTTGTAAGCTCCCTTTAGGTACTGAAAGGCTGCAATGAGGTCACCCCACAGCCTTCTTTTCTCCAGGCTGAACAAGCCCAGCTCCCTCAGCCTGTCTTCATAGAGGTGTTCCAATGCCCTGATCATCTTCGTGGCTCTCCTCTGGATCCTCTCCAACAACTGTCTTTTTTGTACTGGGAGCTCCACACCTGGACACAGTACTCCAATTAACGTGCTTGTTCTACCAAATTCCCTTACTTAGTATCTGGACTGCTTTGCATATAGTCATGCTTCACTTCTATGCTTTGATATTAAAAAAGTAAATAAATAAAAGAAACAGAAAGCTGCAAGTCTCTAACCTGAAATTTTTCAAGTAGCTCAAAGTTTAAGGCAGTATTTTCTTTTACTGTTTACTTCAATTTTCATTTCTATTTAATAGCCAGACGTTATTAACAATAAATCAAAACCTTCTAATGATCAGAATTGCAATGTTTATTGCTTGAGTCTTTCAGAAAGTGTTTCTACCAATAAATGTATTTATTGGTTCATAAAGGTTACTAGGTAATGTCGTCATTAATTTTTAATTAAAGAAGATTAAAGACAGACAAAATGGTGACCTTTTATATGTAAAGCATGCAAAACTATACAAGAACCTAGCAGTCCTCTATAAGTATCTGATTTTACAAGCTACAAATTGGCTTTACTTTCAGGTTACCCTTTAATCCAGATTGAAACTGATGTTACTCATTTGTTCAAGCACTGCTCATTAATAAATACTTCACCGATTTAGATTTTTAACAGTAAGTTTAGTTGACAAGAGACACACAAACATATTCTAGTTCCAGCATCTAGTATTGTCTATAAACGTGACAGTGCAATGGTGCAGTCCTTGTCTGCCCTCCCGTCACCCCCAAACCAGCCTGGTTCTTATGCTCAAGGCCTCATGCAGAAAATGAGGCACAAAAGATCTTGCCCTTGGCAGCAATAACAATCAGGGTTTCACTACTGGCACTTAGACACCTGATAACAGACACCCGGGTCCCACAGAACCAGTTCTGAGTTGTAGGATTAAGTCAATCATCTTACCCCATAAACAGCAAGCAGTCTGAGAATCCCCTGGAGAGTTCTTGCAAGCAGCTGGCTGTGCACCCATAATCTCCTCTGGAGTAGGGACATCTCTCAAGGTGCACAGAGGTGCACTAGTGACATGGTGGCACCTTGCCAACAGATCCTCAGTAAGTGATATATTGTTCTTAAGCTATACTAGTTTCACTAAGATTTTATTTTAAATTCATCATGCACCCTCTACCCTCCATGTAGCAAATAGTCAAGAATATCTAGCCATTTCAAATCTTGTTAAGTTCGCTGTTAGCATTCTAAACAGATATAAGATTTGAACAGTCAACACATATCTTTCTGCCTTTCCTCTTACAAAGAAAGTGTGCAGTGCTTTTTCTCCTTCCTTTGTGACAAAAAGGAAGAATATACTTATTTCTACACACTGATAGTATTTGGTCAGTACAGTAACACACGTCATTTCACTGTTTGAACTAACTGAAAGTTTATAACACTTGCTCACACTGAAACACAACATACAAATAGAACATCCAGAATTTCTAAGAAACAATTATTATTAGAAGTATATTTTTTTCATTTTACTTCCTTATTTTAAAGTTCTTCTGACACTAATGCAGCATAAGTACACTTAGTAGAAGGTCTCACATAAAATACAACTCGGACAACATGAACAGCTTTTGATAGATGAAGAAAGAAAGACACCAGATGGCATGGCATAACTCAAGATTAATTTTGTTCCTTCATTAGACTGTGCTTTCCAAACCATGCTATTCCTTGTTTTCTTGCAAACACAATATTATTTGCAAGCTGCTGTCTGCACCTTCCAAATTAGATTAGTAGACAATTTAATTGGTGCCCTTTTTTGAAATTAAAGTTAATTTTTAATTTGAAATTTCTTAAGTGCCCAAATTTTCCATGATTCTGTCATATCATTCACTAAATGATAAAAAGTTATCTTTTCATATTTCTTCCATTTTTAGCAAACTTCAGAAACAAATTACTAGCAGTAAGGAACTCCCATTGTTCCTGTCATCATTTCACAGAATCACAGAATGTAGGGGTTGGAAGGGACCTCTAGAGAGCATCGAGTCCAACCCCCTGCCAAAGCAGGTCCCTGCACCAGGTCAAAAAAAAAAAAAAAAAAGCACAAATCCAATTAAAGCATTTCAGGGTTTCCCTCCCGATACCCACAATTCACAAAACCTTTTCAAGGTTAGTCAATTGGCTTCAAGGGTCTGTTTGGATAAGTGAGAACAACACAGAACTCCTTAAATAAACAGAACCTAGAATTATAATATCTCAGCAGGTTTAAAAAGTGGTAGACATTTAGATGGCTGAGAAATCAAGACTACAATTTATTTAATGCTTAAATATCAATATTCAATCTGTTCTGCCTAAAGTAATTTTCACTCACTTTGAAAGCTATTCGAAAGCATACCAGGTATGCTATTCTGAACTAGACACAGTTCTAAAGTTTTGACATTGTATTTATAAACATATTTTTTTTAAAAAGAAAACATTCAGCAAGTCATCTCAAGGGAAGCTATCATGCTGACTTCTGTTTAGTTCTAGGAATCTATTCTCTACAATTAGAAAGATTAACATGGTGGGAGGGCAACACATGAGTGAAATAGCAAAGGGACCAGCGCAGATAGGAGAATACTTCAAAGGAACAGTTAAGGTGCTCACCCATCTCCAAAGACATCCATCTCTACAGGTTTGCAGAAAGGACTCCACAACAAATCTCCAAGCAGAGATCCTTCCACAGTGGCAGTCAGCCCTTAAATGACATCTAAGACAGGTGAAGCTGGGCTGCACCCCTTCCAGTCGCAAAGCTGAATTGCCTTCACCTGTTCTCCTAGGCCTGACTGGGTCTTTTCCCAGGTGATCAATCAGTGGTTCAGGCTATGACTCAATAGTTTCCATACACTATTAAAAGCTTTCATCAATAGCATCTGATCTAATTTATTGTATAACCACGTAGACTCTTCTTTATTTATAGTAAAAAAAATAATAATAATAATAATCACTGTAGAAGCTCAACCTATTTTGAGCCTTTCAAAATAGTTTCACAGAATTCTAAACATATAGTATTCTAAACTATATGTAAGATGACTTGAGTTCTGATATCATTTGGAAGAAGATAAATCATCACTGAAATTAGTTATTATGATAACATACTGTCGTATTGAAATTAGATGTATGAAACAGTTTAATTATCCCTGATGAGCACAATTTCCTAACACTCCAGAAAAGATTATGGCTGAGTATGTTTTAAGTTTAAACAAATAGAACTCCACTTCCCTGTGAGGCTAAAGTAAAGAAACTTAATCTATGATATATGGATTAATATATAAGAAACAGAAAAGAGTTACAACTTAAAATGACAAAAGCAGAGAAATCAGAAGTTTCTTCATCCTACTGTTACCAATTGTCACATTGTAAGAACAAAGCAACAAAACAGATCTTGCAAATGTACTGTTATCCTTTAAACATTAGCTAATTGAAAACAAGGCAAGTGTTATAGGCACTTAAAATTATACTATAATTAGAATTAAAAAATTTGAATTAAGTTACACATTGATGTATGTATTGGAAAGTATAAATAGCACTTTCTAGTAATGCAAACATTCTTAATTATCAAAGGAAATAGCTGACGAATTAACGCAAGAGATATTGCAAGGTAAGCATGTTGGATGAAATAGTTACCATACATCGTTCTTGAAGGAGAGTATAACAAATCTGCTTTCACAAATAAAAACTCTACTATCTAGCTATTTTTAGACAGCAGTTTTTTAATCCATCTCACTTTAAGACAGCGCAAATTGTTTCATTTTTGTTATTAGTTGGCAGCATTTTTTTTTACATAAATATTCACAGCCTAATCAACAAGCCCTGTTAATCAACTTCTTCATTAAGGAACAAGGGTCCACTGAAGAGTGATTAAAGCAGAAGAAAACAACTAAAAGATGCCTTCTGTTGTCCAGCAATAATCTGAGTACAGCATAAGGCCTAAGAGTTCAAGAAATCCACTGAACCTTAAAAAAATAAAATAAAATGGGACAGAAAGATTGCCAAAAGAGAAAGGACTTATGCATTGTTCCAAGCTGAAGTGAGAGATTCTCAAACTGTATATAAGATCAAAGCAGTGTGTGCAGTTTCAAGATGGCTGACTGTCTCTGAGAAACAGTAATTATAAGATACATGCTTTACATAAGTACTTCCTCCATTAAGCTTCAGAGTTACCATTTTACTGAGTTTCTAGATGCAATTCTGGTGCTGTAAAAATGTTTCCATATATTCAAATAAAATCTTGTTCAAACATTTAATTGTGGCGGCAGAAAACATTTATCACATCGGATGGCAAACAACAAAAACTTCTGGAAGACTTCAAACTGTGACTGCTAAAAGACAAATATTTTGAAGAGGAAGCTGCAGATTAGACAGTAAGTTTTACCTGACCCAGAAGATGCTTTCCAGCTTGGATCCAATTTGCCAACTGTAAGTTTTTTTCAGTATAACCAATTTTTAAAGATACAAAGATGATTCAGTAGTCCTGTGATCATGATCACTGAATAAAACATAACACTAAATTTCTAACTAGTCTAATGATTTTTGTTTATATTTGTGTTTTGTTCAGACTATTGTTTATTCAGATGATTGACTTAATACAGCATCTCTGGTCACAAAAGCAAAAAATAACTTGTTTCTTACAGTAGTTTCTTAACACTTTTCTATCTCCACACTATTACATGCACACTGTTTGCTACTTCTCACAAAGCAGAAGAACTTGTGTTGACTATATTGTACTTCAGCAATTAATATTTGTGTTTTTTTCTCGAAATATGTTAGTACTCAAGCATTATTTACATGCGCAAGTACTCTTCTGAGTTAGAAGCCCCAATACTACTAAAAAGTTCACATAAATCACCAATGGCAGAAAAAAAATACTCAGTTACACAAAAAACAAATGTATGAAATTTAGAATGTAAGACAAATTATAATAAACAATGCACAAGTGACGTAGTTCAAATTTATTTTGGTCACTATTGATAAGTATTACAGGCAATTACTGTGGGTGGATTAAATATCCTTTGAGCATAAAGCATACATATATTCAGTCTTAGAAATGCTGGTAGTGTTCCACCTCCCTTCTTCAAGAAAAGCTGACCAACCTACTCAGTTTCTATTCTTATCATACACTAATTTGCACAGTTTAAACAAGGCAGAGTATAGTTAGCCAAGGAATTTTAATCTTTTTTTTTTCCTAGACTTGTCATGCAAATTGTCAGTATTTAATGAAGGATAATTTCTGCTATTATAAGAAGCTTAAGAGATGTTCTTTGTGAATAATTATTAACATAAACCACTACATTACAGCATTACAGCAGCGTAAGAAGTAAAAATTCATTCTTACAAACAACAATCCTTTTAAAGATTAATGGAATTTTTCAAGTACAACTGTGGTTACAAGCCCTTAGGAACACGATTTATGTAGTATTCATTCATATAGTCATCTGTATGACCATCACACTGACAGGAAAAAAAAAAACCTGCCAGTTTCTAAAGAGCCACCTACTTCCTCTCTCAAAACATCTGTAGACGGCAGTCCTACCAGAAGATTACTCAAAATTACTACTGCAAGTCACTTTATCAGGGACTCTTCTGTTCCCAGTGATCACAAAAGAAGAAAGTAACACTGTCAATTACTTGACTCGTTACCTTTCATATAAAATACTTGCTTATTAGAGTCAATGCACCTTACAAAAAAAAAGTGAAGTATTTGGTTTATACAATCATAGAATTGTTTGGGTTGAAAGGGATCTTCAAGATCATCTAGGTCCTCCCCCTTCCCACCCTGCTGTAGACAGGGACACCTCCCTCTAGACCACATTGCTCAAAGTCCCATCCAACACGACCTGGAATGCTTCCAGGGAGGGGACATTCACAACCTCACTGGACAACCTGTCCTTCCCCTCTTCAAGTTTAAAGCCATTTACCCTCTTCCTGCCACTATTTGCCCTTATAAAAAGTCCCTCCACAGCTTTCCTGTAGGCCCCCTTACCTGCTGCTTATCGATCTGGACTCACGCAGTACTGGGCAGCCCATTATGCACTAAGGTTCATTTCAAGATCAATCAGGAAAAAAATGCAGATGCATATAAAGAAGACCTGTGGCTATTCACTGCCTATTCTTCCATTGCAGTTCTTTATACAAGTCCAGGAGCAACTTCCACCATTTGGTTATTAATTATGTCTCCCATAAATTCTGTCTCAATGGCAGAATTGTGGGCATAGATTTTTTTTTTTTTTTTTTTAATCCTTACCTTCCACTGCTTGACCTTCTCTTCTGAGCATCTGGACAGCTCCTACATACTTCTTAAGTTGCACTTTTAGCACTTCATTTTCTCTGTTGATAAAAAGAAGAGCATAAGAAAAGATAAGTGCTTTCTCAAAATAGAAAACCATTTCAGAGGAAACAAATATACCAGCTGTGATAATGAGCTTCACTTAGCTTGTCATCAGGATTAAAAAAAAACCAAAACATTTACACATTAAATAATATGTCAACAGACAGAGCACCAGGCAAATTTGTTTTCTAGTATACCTGTAAGTAACTACAAAATTCTAGATAGATAACACACAGACTACAGAAAACTGAGAACAGTTTACACACAAAGGTGTACTTTTATTTATGGGAATTTAGTTAAGAAAGAGAGCTCTATTTGCACATGCAAATATGTTTGCTGGACCTTGTTATACATGTTGGCCCAATATATATGCTTAAGTTGCTGTTGTGTGCAGTATAATTAAGATTTGCAATCCAAAATTAAATTAAATATCACATTGCTTTCCAGATTATGCCATTGTTAGCAATTTCCAAAAGCAAAAGAATAATCAACTTAACTGCCTTGATGCTTATATATTATTAGCCATAATTAGGGAGCTGTCGGAAGTTCCATGAATGCATGCGGAAGAACTTCTTCAAGGTAAGGGCAATGGAACACTGGAACAGGTTGCCCAGAGAGGTTGAAAAACATTAATATTTATGCATAGCAGTGCTCTCAAGCCAATATAACAAACCCCAAAGACAATTAGCATATATTAGATTGCATAAGCAATCAACACAAACACAGGACAACAGAAATTCTTTTTTTCCCCAAATCTGAAAAGGTAAATAATTGATTTATAATAGCACTATATATTGTATGTATGTATACACACACACACACACGTATAATTTTTAAGAAATTACACTATAATGTTGAAAAAAGTCATAGAAAGTCGTGCTTTTTGCCATAAATAATTAAAAACAATTATGACATTTTCACACCTGATTTCAAAATTAAGCATCAAGGAAAACAGTAAATTATGGAAGATGACAAAAAGATTAATCTGCCTACCTGTATGACATCAATTTGCTAATAGGACAAAAATAAGAGAAAAAGATACTGGTTTTGTTTTAATAATGAGGACTGTTGGTTGCTGGTTTATTTTGTTATTTTGTTTATTTTGTTTATTTTGTTTATTTTGTTAATGCTGGAAAACAATGGATTGTACTAAATTGTATATGTCTTTGAAGGTTGGGGTTTTTTTTTCTGTATTATTACTTTTTTTCAGTATTTCTTAAATTACGCCCAGCGTACAAATTACTTGGAATATAAAAATTCTAAGGAGTACTTACATACTTCTTGCCTTGCAATTAAACAGCACAGATACTTCATCCTCTGTTGTCTTCTGAGATCCCTTAGCAGCACTGGCTAGACTCATTACTGAACCACTCAATCCAGCCACTATTTTTGCAGCTCTTATTTCTTACTATTAGTCTAATTCCTATTTTAGGATTGCTTTCTAATTGTTGCTATTACTTTTATGACTGTTCTAATGTTTCTCACCGTGCCAAGGCTTGGACTTTCGTGGCATGTCGCTCTTCCTGTTCTGCTATCTTCCTTCTCCAATTGTCCATTTCCTGCCTCAGTGCTGCAGAATGCTCCATCTCACCATCAAGCAGATTTCTAAGGGACCTGGAATGGCAGCAGCATCTGTTAGGAAACTGTACAGTTACTAATTAGAGGACACTGTACTAACCACAGAGTAGATTGTTTGAATGATACCATTAATGTCATGTCACCCTAAAATTTCCTTATTCAGTGTAAAAAATTCATCCAGATTGATTACATAAAGATACGAAAAGCTGCAAGGAAAAAGTATCCAATCAAAACAAGTTATAAATGCTTATTATTGAATTTGTATTAATCCCATAAACATGCACAATTTATTACCATATCTACCGTACTACCACACACACAAAAATTCACTATAATAGAAAATGACTTATAACCTGGTTTCTGTGCTCCAGTGAAAGCTCTTACTTCCCAGAAATAATCTAAAATAAGTTTGTTTCTTAGCCACAGAAGGAGACAGGCAGGACACTGTCATGCACCTCTGTGTGAAAACCTTGATGAGCTAAGAAGGATCAACATTATGTGAAACCCAAAGCATATTGGTACTTCATACAAAACACCTAAAGTTGAATGGAGCAGAAGTTTGCAATTATGGTATAGAGTGATAAAGGACATCTCCAATATATTTTTATTTTCATTTATTTAACCACGTTTCAATATATTAAGTAAATTAGGTTTGTGAGTATGTTGAATGAACAACATTCTATTTTTACATTTACACAATTATTTTGCCCCAACAGAACATACAGACATTCATGCATGAAAGTCACTTCCAATGCAACATTGTTAGTGGTCCTATATCATTTCTGCACTGGAAGGGGAAAAAAAAAAAAACCAACAACTTCGAATATTTGCATAAATATAAACTTTAACTCATTCAGAAAGTCTTATAAGATCATAAGACTCTTTGGCCTATAAATATTGATTTCAAAAACCTAGAACTGGCAAAACCTCCCAAAGATACCTATATGTGATTTGAATTCAAAGGAAAAAAAACTGTGAACAGTTGAATATTGATTCCACAGTTGAATGTTGAAGTACTAAGCTTAACTTTCAAATAAAATTTACATCATAAAGATGACAGATTACATACAGCTTTATATAACAGACATCCTACATTAAAGAAACTGAATGACAAGTTTTTGAAATTATATAGCACTTCTTGACTGGAAAATTACCTATTCTGTTCTTCCAGTTCATCTTTTCTATTCACCATGGCCAGAATAGCTTGACGAAGTTCATCTAAAAATGAAAATGGGGAAAAGGGGAAGGGGAATGGGAATGAATTTTTGCACATTTAAGATCTAACAGTCATTTATGTGGAGGTGCTATTTCAGCAGCACACTTAGGATGATGTCAAAATCACTTGCTACTCAACAAAGCACCTAACAATTCTCTTGATCTCATCAACCATTTGAAAACTGTATTATTTAACATAGTTCCAGAAGTATCAATCAAATCAATCTCTATTTAGTTTTAATATAAACACAAGTTTGTCTGTAGTAGAGGCTGTTTTAATCACAGCCAAATGAGGCATCTTAAGATATAATGCAGCACCTTTTCACTGTATTAATGAAATACATTATTACTTGCTAATTGTCTTGAAACTGCTTACTTTCTTTGCTACAAAACCTGACACAGTCATCTAAGTACTACGAGACCATAGTAGAGATGACATCATCGCTTTCTCATGGCATTTCTTCTCAAGTTCAGTCTACTGTTTTAAAGATGATAGAATTTCTGATTCTATTTCCTATTACAGAAACCTTACTTCCTATAAATAACTTCAAAAATAATTTAATTTCAATATCAAGACAAAAATATTAAGACAATTTCTTTGAACTTGTAAGAAATATCTTCAGCTGCACTACCATTTCAAGGGAGATCTTCTGTTTCAGTGTGGGGATAACTTAAGAATCAACTTTCTGTACACAAGTCAGTATTTCACTTGCATTCTTCTGAGTTATGTTTAATGTTGTTACCAGAGTACCTTTTCTGAACTGTAAAGAAAAGTGTCAGCTCAAAGCCATGCACTTGGAATCCTGCTGTTATCATAAAGATTTTGCAATCTAACTGTACAGCTGTACTACTACTAATTCCTATAAATCTACAGAAAGAAATATTATGGCTTTATCATCTAATCTAAATGAGATTTTGACTTTCAGATCTTGTACAAATCCACAAAATAGAGCAGCCCTTCAAAGATTTGAACAGCTTCTAGCAAACACCTGAATACATACACAGTTTCTCATAACTGTGTTTTGTTGCATTGTTTTTCTGTCCTGCATATCAAAAGGAGTGATAAAAAGGCCAGTTCTATTCAAGTATATCTGAAAGGAAACTGGAAAAGCAGAAGAAAAAAAACCAACTTATTTCAAGCTTTGTTTTCAAAATTAAGAAGTACAAAAACCCATAGTCACTGGAGACCTCCCAGCTTTGTTCATTGCACTACTGCAGTCAATTTTTCTTTACTGTTGTGTTAGAATTAGTTTCTATGCAACCAAGCTATACGCTTCACCATTTAATAAGGCTTCCACTAATTGAAATACAGAAAAAGAACCTCAGTGTCTGGGTTTGTAATAGCACGGAGGTGTTCCTGTATGGTAGATCCACATCCAGTAGCAACAAACTTGAAAAAAGTATTGTGTTCAACATATTTGGAAACAGCTCTTACAAAAGTATTAACTTGTAAGAACAAGCAGTTGAACTTTTATTATAATGATAATTATTTACAAATAATTCCACTGGCTTCGTAGATTGACATCCTTCTCCTGTTTGTTCCCTCAAAACCTTGTCTAGAATAAAAATTTAATGTTCCATCTATGTTTCTTCTGATACTACGGTTCATTTCATTTAGAAATTGCTAAATATCAAGAATTGAAAATCTCAAAGTCTACTGCGCATTTGATGGTTGTCTCAATTACATGTATGTACTGTCTAAGCAACTGAAGAGACCAACTGTGGCCTCTGCTGGTATCTATGAAGCAATAACAGCAATGAAGTAATGAAGTGCAATAAAAGCAGGAAGTTTCCCATTAAAACTCTATTACTGGGGGGAAAAAAAAAAAAAAAAAGCAGCTAAAACAAGTTAGAAAAGAAGGATTAGACTGTAAAAGTAACAAACATAAGTATACATTGACCAAAGCATCACAGTAACTATCAACAGTGATTCCACCTATATATACATCTTCCACTACGTGACTTCAAAGCCCCAAACTAGATTCCCACTTCAAAAAGCACATTGCAAGAAAGGATTTTTTGGCTTTCTAGATCTCACCAAAGTAGATCTATACTAAAGCATGAAACAAAATCCAATAAAAATGCATGGCCCACCTCCTTTAGCATATCAACATTAGATTGGAATGCAGCATTAAAATATCATAGTGTTCATTCATTTTGATTAAATCAATTTCACACATGAATGTTGCCTGTGTCACTTCTGTATTCCTAAATGTTATCATTTAAAATTTGGACACAGTTTAAAAAAAAAAAAAACATACACATAGCCCAGAGCTTCAGGAACAAAGCTATATCCACCAGTTCAGTCACAAAACTTTCTGTACAGAGAGAAAAAATAAAACTATTCTTGCGCATGTCTTTAGACAGTAGGACAGTTTAAGAACTATTCTTCATTCTGCAAGTTTATGTGAAGGTTTAAAGGCTTAAAGATGGGGTAAATAGACAGCCAATACTTCTCCAAGTCTCTTTCTTACAGCCAAGGCTACTTTATCCCATCGAGCACAATTCTTAACACTAATGAAAAGAAGTCCTCAATCATAAATAAAATTTCCATTTATGAAATACATATTTCATGAATACATGTTTGGCACAGATTTTCCATATTAAAACCATATACTGAGTACAAAAGGAGTTCAGGATTTGTTTTTTTGCCCTATTAGGCCTTACAAAAAACATGCCAAACAAGATCATATCAGAAAGAACCATTAGCACTTTTGCAACTTGCAGAAAATTTAAGGATACTGATCAAATCATTACCATTCTTTTAACAATCCATAGCTAGGGTACTTATAGCAGTTCTGTGGAAAGAGAGGCTAATGTATGCATCCGCAATGGACCTTGTATTGCCAAATTAACTATTTTAGAGCAGCCATTGTGGCCAGCATATAAGAAATGAATCCTCTATAAACAGATGTTACTGAAATGAAAATAGAAATCAAGAATTACAGGACTTGAAATATTAATTCCTTTAATCTAGATCCATCAAGGAAGTACTTACTAATTGTCATGGATTCGGGCACAGTGGCTGAAGGCAACATATTGCTTAAAGTATTCACTTGAGCTGGAGGACTGACTTCCACTCTAGTTAAAGAAGTACGATGTCATCAATAAATGTAAACAAAATCCAGAATCCAAAACTTAAGAAAAAAAGAAACTGGAATTCTCATCAACTATTCAAAACATAATCATGCACATAAAACAACACATATTCAACTGCTTTGTGTTCAATTCTCGTTTAAGATATGTTTCATCTGATTTAAGAGCAGAGGCAAAAAACAATCAACAAGACACAAAAAGCTTGGCTAAGATACCCGAACAACATAAAACCTACTTTGTCCTTCCAAACATTTCCAAGCTTAGCCTAACAGTTTGTTTTCCAGTGCTGAATGCTATCTGTTAGACAACCATAGTAAGCTGGCAGCCATCTATAGGCTGCAAGCAGCTTTTTCGTGGGTCTTCCTTTTCCTAATAAGACATATTTGTCCTGTCACATACCTGTAGGAAAGATCAGATCTTCTTGGAAACAGTTCTACTGCATCAAGAACATCTTCGTGCCCCCCTCCATTCTCCAATTTATCTAAAGCAGAATGCATATATAAGCTTTCTTGAGTTAACAGTATTTTAAAAATAAAAACAAAACCAAAAAGAAAATAATTGCATTTTCACCCAGATAAAACTTAACTTTACTAAGGAATTTTAACTGCTTAAAAACCTTCTCCAAATGTGCCTTCTGCACATTCACCCCTCACACAGGTAGGATTGTAACACAATCATCTGCTTGGAAAATTTTTCCTATAGCAAAACTACTTATTATAGTATAGATGTTGATATTTAACATCAATAACAATGCAGTAAAGTTATGAAGAAATTTTTTATTGAACTTATTTTTACAAGTCCCAGGAATTTAATTAACATTTGACATCTGATACTCATTACAAATCTGCTTTCTGACTAGCAGGAATGGAATTTGTAGTTAGTCCCCAGTATCTCAAATCCTGCAAAGGTGCCATTCCTTCATATGTTCCCAACAGAGTATCATGGCTTTTCGTCAACTTTTTTCCTCTTCCTCTTTTTTTTTTTTTTTTTTTTTTTGACATTTGGTACACACACCCTATGAACCAAATATGAGAAATAAGGTATTTCTCAGAAAACCATGGATAATACACATCTGTCCACAGATCCACAACTTTCAGTATCAAAACATATACATCATTGGGCCTGCCACGATGGTAGGGTCACTTGAAAGGAAACAAACAACACCATCCTCCTCCTAGGAATGTATTAAGAAAAACATCAATAAATAAACAAACAAACAAATAAATGTATGTATGTTTTTGCACCTCAGTGTGTAAGCTTTACAAAGATACCGTAAAACAATCCTGAAATCACAAGCTAAAAAATTAGAGTAGAATATAAAAATCAGGAAGTCCGAAATATTATTATTATTATTATTAATAATAAAAATGACAGGAAATAAAAGTGGTGTCAGGATGACTATGGAGAAGAAAGTGTTATGGTTTTTGGGTTTTTTTGTGTGAGTTTTTTTTTAAGTTCCTAACTATATATTCCATTTTCCTTCCAGGAAACTGATTTTTGACTCTGGCTCTCTCATTTCTATGTATGTGGAAATACCCTATGTCCTGACACACCCCTGAGGCATAACAGCAGACTCTGAAAACTCATTTGAGCAAATAACACTCTGTTATATATTTGAAATATATATACATATATTACGGGAAAACAAGAAAAAAATGAAACACTTTCTATTTTTTTTCTGAGCCTCTGGCATCTTTTAAGAGGTACAAATACTAGAACACAGCAGAGGGCAGTAGAGCATTATTTTATGAGTCATGTTATTTTTATCTCTTAACATACAGAAGAAAACCATGCTTTTTCACAGCTGTTTATTTAACGGTCTCTTTAAAATCTCAGAACAAATGATGGATATCCAAAAAGCATTCAATATTTTACCGTTAAAATAGATTATCTGAATGCCAATGGGAAGTGATAATTGGTTTCTGAAATACTCAAAGGCAATGTTTTATAAACAGCTAGCAAATATCAACTCCATACATTTCTGAGGAAGTTTTTTGACACTAGAACAGATACTGAAAATGTAGTGAGTGCTGTTATCCATACCTCTACCCGTTCTCATTGCTTTCTTCAAGGTATGGACCACACCATTCTTGAAGTGCAATACCCAAAAGCGTAGAGGCCACCAGCGCATAAACTTACAAGTGACTCTTTCATTTAAGCATCTCAGTGTGAAACGTGCTTTCAGCGTAGAAGCACAATACTGCTAATTCATTATGGACTTGTAACCCGTATAACTCCCATAACTTTCTCCAACTATTTCCTAGCCAATCACTCCTCATCCTGTTTATACAGAGATAACAACTTCTATTGAATGTAATTCAATAGTTAGTAGTCTCTCTGATCTTCAAGGTCAAATTAAACTACCAAACAACCTTTTAGCTTCTTCCAGCTCACTGGCATCTACCAATTGGATAAGGACATTTCTTATTCAACCATTCAAATAATTAGAAAAACACCACGCATACAAGACCACGGCTTAATGACAGTAGATCTCTAGTCTATTTTCACATGGATAAATCCTCTTCAACTAACCAGCTTAGAAATGAGCTATAAGACTACTACAGAGAAGAACTTTGTTACTGTCTAGAAAAAAAAATTCGAACATCTTGTTCAGTCTGTACAATGCCATGCTTGTTTACCACTGCTGCATGTTAGAAATTTCTTTACAAAGCTTGTTGGTATTACATACAATTAAAATATTTACCAGTTTGGGAGTCAACAGCACTGACAGGAAACAGGACATCTGAGTCATAATTCAGAACTTGCAGAGGAGTCCAGCTGCATATCTGAGAATTGCATGTGACAATTTCATGAGGCCTATACAGAAAAACAAAAGCAAATATTACATAGTCAAAGATTTCCACAATGCTCATAATTCTTTCAGAGATATGACTGCATGAAAAACCTTTATTTCAATCTCCCTGCCAATTTATTTCTTAGTTCAGATGTACATAAATTCACAGAAGACACACACAAATTTCTTTTAGCAGCCTTCCAGAACTTAAAAGGGGCTTACAGAAAAGATGAGGGATTCTTCATCAGGGAGTAGCAACAGAACAAAGGGTAACAGTTTTTAAACTAAAAGAGGATAGTTTTAGATTAGACATTAGGAAGAAATTCTTGTCCATTATGATGATGAGACACTGCAACAGGTGGTCCAGTGGAAGGTGCTCCTGTCCATGGCAGGAGGCAGAGCTCAATGATTTTAAAGTCACTTAAACTATTCTATAACTCCACGATTCGAAGATCAGATTATTTTGAACTATCAGTTTTATGACTCTGTCTTGGTTAACATAACTCTGATACTAGCAGGCTCTGCTTAAAATATATGGGTTTTCTGTGAAGCCAAACTAAAGCTGGTATCACACTAAAAATAAGTAAATGTCAAAGAAGTCAGAACTGCAGCTTTGCAAAAATTTTGGAAACTGAGAATGTCATGGAGAATAAATCTGAAATCTCAAGATTCTGATTTTAGGTGAAACATAAATGCAAAATATCCCAAAACTAGTCCAAATAGTTTAAACAGAGAACAACTAACAAAAAAAAGTCTACCAGGATTTTTGTGAGTTAGGCAAATTTGCCAGTGACCATGAAATAGAAGAAAAAAAGAGAAAAATTTACCACTGGTTTCTTCAATAAAGTTACTTACTTTTCAGAAGGTTCAGTTTCCGCTTCTGTCCCTTTATTTCCTGATGTTTTTCCACATAGTTCATCTTCATCTGCATCTTCATCATCAATACTTTTCACATCTAGTTTCTGGTATTCATACTCTCCATTCATAAAAACAGAATTACTTTTCCACGAGTGGTTACTTTCATTCTCATTAGAATTTTTTCCATGATTGGTTTCAGATGAGGGTAATATAAAAACTGAAGATCTATCTAAACTCTCCTCTGAACTTTGTCCCGTAATAGGGGTCTTTGTGGCTTCTCCCACATTTAGTTCATCATTTTCTTCATCAAATGATATTATATTTGTCACCCTTTTCTTCTTTTTTCGATCTTTCTTATATTTCAATTCTATTAGCAACATAAAAGTTTACATATTTTAAAAAAGAAAAGAAGGATGTATTACATGAACAGAACTCATGTACTGAATGAGTTTATAAAAGAAGAAAGAATCCATTTAATTAGGCATTTCATTATCTTTCCATACACATCGAAGTAACTCAAATTTCAAGAATTATTTTTGAGGTGCATATATAATAGTATTCAATTGGAAGTGGAAAAAAAATATTTCAACAAACAACAAAATGAAATTCAAGAGAAAAAGCCTCTCAGGCACCTACTTTTATAATAAGTGTGTATTTCAGAGCATATCTAACAAAAGGAAAAAAAAACATGAAATATCCCTGGGAAATAATGATGATAAAGATAATAAAATACACCTTCGTTACTTTTGAAACTGACAATCATAGAGTCCTTAGAGTTTTAAGAGACTTTTAGAGATTATCTTAGTCCAACTCCCCTGGAATGTACAGGGACACGCACAGCTAGATCAGGCTTGCCTTTAAAGTCTCCAGAGATGGAACATCAGCCACAAAACTAGGCAACCTGTTCCAGTGCCTCACCACCCTCACAGTAAAAGACTTTTTCCTTACACCTAACCTAAATCTATCCTCTTTGAAGATCAAGCCATTTCCTGTTCCATCACCACAGACCCTGCAAAAGAGTCTACAGACTCTGCTTAAGACTCTAATGTATAATAAATATCACATTTTAATTTATTAATTTTAAATTACAAGGCATTAAAATATCAGGCCCTTGTCAGTGATGGTGCCCTGCAAAGTGGTTACACCAATAACATACTTAAAGTCCAAGAAAAGCAATGACTAATTTTTCATTTGTGGTAATTACCTCTTTCATATAGGAGTTTAGACTATAAATTTAGTTGCTGTTTGAAGACTACAAGCTTAATTTTTTTTTTTTTTTTAAATCTGGTATATAACAACAGTTTAGATGGCTAATGAAATGCCAAAAGTAAACATACTAAAAGTGAAAAATCATTACATCAGACACTTCAAAGCATAATTTTATGAGTAAGAAGTTGAAATTCAGGTCACAATTACAGCACCAACACGACAGTCTAGCTTCCCTCTTGCACTGATAAAAGGAAGCCAAAATAACTATTAGCTTCCCATTATCCACACCTGTAGTTTTGAAAACAAAATTAAAGAAGAATGAACCACACCTAACATTTCACATTCAACTGTTTTGTACGCACAGCACATGCATTTTTTAAGATTTTTTTTTCTATGACAGTATATAAGTTTTTGAATTACATCAGTACAGCAATAATGCTTACCAGCATTTACATTCTTTGAGAGAACAGGAAGCGGATCAGTGTCTTGATCAGGTTTTATAAGAATGGAGACAGCAGAGGATGCAGTTATCTCTCTAAGAAGACTACTAACACCCTGAGTGGATTCTTTCAATAATGAAGTTACATTTTGTGTTGATTCTTTTAACAGATCAGACACTGTGGGTGTGCATTTGCTTTGTCCATTTAAATCTCTATTATCAATGTTGATTGCAAACAGAATGGAGTTCAGACCTACAGATAAAAGAAGAGAAAAAAGTAAGACCAAAACCCCACTTTACAAATAAGTTACAGAAATAGAACCTAGGTATATAACAACGCTGACAGGTAAAACATTTTTCCCCCAGATTTTCCTGCCATTCTCTATGCACGAATTGTTTCTTTTCCACATATCATCCACTCTTTCTAAAATACTACTCAAGTGTTTTCAAGTTCTGAATTTATCTTTACTTACGCAGTTCACAGTACTTTTTGAGTATGTAATGTGCAGCTGAACTGGTTTATTTACAGTCTTTTAAATCTTCACTGCAGCTTTAAAATTTGCTGCATCCCATACTTCATGAATAAAAACCTGTGAATTCTATCTTGCATAGAGAAGCATGTGATAGTGTACCTCAGAAAAACGATGTATACAATAACAATATGCAGCTTCTGAGACTTCACTCAAGAAAATTAAGCTATATGTAGCCAGGTCTTACTCTTTCTTCCAGTACGTTTATCTGCATGCTGGGTCTGACTAAAAAAATCCTACCTCTATTATTCTTTTCAGGTCAAGAGCAACCCATTTTTTCTTCAAATCAAGATAGTTTTAGAGGAAGAAAAGAATTATCCTTAGTAGCGAAGGGTTTGAAAATCCATCTGAAACACTTTGGAACCTATAGAAAAGCTAGACCCAGGATTTAGAAAATTCATAACGTAAACTGGCAATAAGACCTTTACCGTTTACCCGGCATGTGTATCTGATGCATATTCTCCACAGAAGCTAACAGAGAAAATCCTTACAAGTGAAACAGAAATGACATCTCAAAATGTAACAGTTTTCCCCAAAATAGTAGTATATAAGAGAGGTGTTACCAGCTGCCATTGTAGGAATCATACTAGAACGTTCTTCATCCATCATAAAAGACCAGTTTTCATAGAAGACACTATGATGCGAAAAAAAAATAATATTGAGTTGAACATTTACAATACATTCCGCTTTCAAAACTCTGAAAAATAAGTACGACTACATCAACAGATCAAACGTACACCACAGTAACACCCTGAACATCTGAAATATTTAGATTGTCTAAACAGTCACAATAAATAAACATGCATTTCCTTAGCTGAAAACTATGAAATTCACTGAAATTGTATTTTATCAGTGGTTGTAGCTCCACATCTTTTTTACCGGGTAAGAAAAAAACACTTAGGACAAGGAGGTTCATGCTACAATAGCAATCACAATTGTTTGTCAGTGTCTATTGCTGCTATTCCACATACATAAGTTTTAAAATAATTACAGTTGACTTTATGGTCACCGGACATTTACAAAGCATGCATACAAATGCATGAACACAACCTAAATATCTTACTAACTTTGACAGGCTGTTTCAACACCCGAAACCACATCAATTACCCTAAATTGTTAGGGTCAACTAGGAATTTGATGCAAGGAAAAGAAACTTCACAGTGAACAAAATATTAGTTGTTCTAAATCCAGTCCTTTTTAGTAGCAGGATGCTGTGTTTCAACTGTCAGCTTTCAGATTTAAAAGAAAACATAAAAACAGCAAAAAAGACCTCAATCTACATTAAACAGAATAGAATATAGAACAGAACAGAATCTACATAACATAATAGATTCACTTAAGTTTTCAAAACTGATAACAGTCCAGAATGTAAACTGATTCTGGAAATTTCACTTAAATTTAAATAACATATCTTAAGTATTCTACAATAAGCATTTTTGGAAACAAGAGTTCACGTACAGTGCTCAGAGTGCTGACAGTCTTGCTACAGCACATACACCGTTACAGGCATCAGAGTACTAAACCAAGTAATCTAAACCACAAATCTCTCTGACAATAAAAATCTGAAAACTGTTGTAAATCTTGCTTTGTCTCTATTTGACTTCATTTAAAATCTATCTTGCAAGAAAGCTACAGAGGGCTGGAACAGACTGAAAGTTACTGAAGAGATCAGTTCTGAAAGTATATTCATTAGTTGATGCAAATGGAAATAGAGCTTTTCAGCTGAATTCACTAAGTAGCTCAAGCTCAACAATTAGAATAATAAATGCCACAGATTAGAAAGAAGACAAAAAAAGGATTGTAATATGTGTCACAGAAAAGGTAAGACTCAGGCAAGAATGAACATTTTTGTATATTTTGCACATCCAAAGTATATTTTGTATTGTGAAAACCTAAGAAATCATTCATGTGGTAATTCTGTAAAAGGAAATTCATAAAGTATTTCTAAGTAACCTACAGAAGTAGCTACCCATTGCTTGACTGGCAGAGCTTGTAAACTACAGGGTAAGCACCTCCAAGCGGGCTACAGGCAACTACTACTCCGAAATAAAAAAAATCAAGGCTGAAATACGTGATTTCATTAGAGAGAGGGAGGCACTCAAAGTCTCTTTCATAATAGTATTAAGGTATCAGAGAGAACAACTGCTCAAAGAGCAGGAAAGAGGGTCAGGAAAGAGGATGGAAATAAATACAGAAGCATATATTCTCACATGCAAAAATGAAGCCAGCTTCAGGTCACACACAGATTTGGGCACAAGCCACTGTCTCAGTGACTGAAAATTTCAAAAATGAACAAAATAAACACAAGTGAGGTCAAGTAGGAAAACTAGACTAGAAATAACACTATACGTTATTACAGTTGTATTTCTTGGGGAGTTTTTCTGTTGGTATTTTGATGACTTTTCAGTCTCAATATTTCATTTCTCACTATATGCACAATTCCTGCATTACAGTGACATCAAATACAGTACCTAAGCCGATTCTTGTCTGCAAGTAGCATATGAACATATCTTTCTAGGGAATGTTCATTCAATGCACAGCGCAACCAAGCCCGACCTCTGCCGATATCTGTAGTAATTGTCTTCAGAGAGTAAAAGCGCTGTAGTTCATGTTTATTCAGAAATTCTTTCACATAGTACCAAAACACTGGCTCTGCAGAAAAACAAAATAAAAGCACCACAGTAAGCTCTTGCTTTATCTACATTGGTAGCTTGGAAAGTAATGCCTCCTATCTGTCTCAGTGAAAACTACAACAGATTCAAAGAGCAAACAACACTGTTCGGTAAAGCAAATTCTCAAAACAGTGTTTTTCAACAGTCACCACCGTTATCTGATTCACACAGATGAGGAAATTGAGATGCTTTTCATTTCATGCTGTGGCAGCTGTACATGGCTGTCTGGAACACTGCTTTCCTTTCATGCCACCATTACCACTGCTGAAATGCAACACCCACTGCCCCACTATGCTCACATCCATTGTATGGTGAACAGAAACATTCACACATACCCATGAATGTCAATGTATGCAATTTTTCCCCATATGTAGAATAGAATTCTACACTCTCCCTTCATATACACCTCCATGTCAGACACCAGTTTGTCACACTGCCCCTCTGCTACCATCTGTTGCACAGCAACAAGACATAGTGGGAAGGTTCAGCCTCTGCTGCCATCCCACCAACATCCATCTCTAATGCCTTGAGCCAGTATCATACAACAAGAGGCATTACTTTATGAGCAACCCACATACTTTACTTTCTCCTATCAAAGCGAGTTTCATTACATATTATTTCAAAATAAGGACTGATTCACACAGTAAATTATCTCCAATATTCCCAATTGAATAAATCCCAACAAAATAAATTTACCATGCAATTTTATATATTGTTCCCTGACTGTTTTATAACTTGAAAAAAAGTAAATGATTTACTATCTACATATAACTCTCCAGTTAACTCTCACATTATTTCTACAGAATTTAGGCCACTTAAGCACTTAGAACTTGTCACTTCACTGAAGACACCAAACACATTGAAGGATCTGTGCCTCCATTCTAAAATAATCATATTCAAGTTGCAAAGTGTATTTAAACTAGTATTTCACTCAAGAAACAGATTCACATCTGGGAATATGCTACGCGTCTAGAACTCTTTTTTACTGTTCTCTGCAAAATGATAAAATCGAAATGATAAAATTTAAGTAAAAAGGAATGGGTTGATCCATAATTTGCAGACATGCAAAGGATAAAGTCAGGTGTTAAATATAAAAGGCAACACCTGTTCCCACAACAATACTTCCCTTGCACTGCTCCAAACATTGATAAAACTTTTTTTTTTTTTTTTTTTTTTTTTTTTACACTCACATAAGTATTTGAAAGCTGAAAATTTATATTGTCAGTAATGTACTAAGAAACTGAATTTAGGGTAGACAGGCCTTTAAGAAAAAAAATATATAGATAGATATAGATATGAGAAAGCCAAGAATTCTTTAAAAAGTTCAAAACATCAATATGTCAAGGAAGACAAGCACATATTCCTTTTGACAGTTTAATGAAGGTCACTGTTCAACTTTTTCTTTAATATGTTAACAAAAAAGGAAAAATTCTAATGTAGGAGTGAATTGTACACTATCACCTCAAATATCATGCTGACTTCTGATCATAATCTCAATGTAGGCAGCATAAAGACAACATGTATAGGAAGGTAAAAAAATTTCACTGAAAAAAATTCACATGCGAAAGAGAAAATGGACAGATTCTGTCACTCCTTATCACATTTCTAAATCATTTTAATGTAGTTGCAGTACCAGGAAGAGGTCATCCATGATGTTCCCCTTTTTCTCTGCTAAATAATCAGCACACAGTCAGGTTTCGAAGAGGTTTTTACTACAGGTTGTGATTTCTGGTGAAATGCACTCATTTGGGGGTACAATTTTATTTATTAATCTCTACTGAAAGCCATTAGATTAGTAAAGCTGTCAACAGTGCCATAGTTTTTGAAAACTGAACAAATAGGTTAGACTCATTTACTAGAAGTTTTGCTAATAAGATTTGATATCTGTGCAAGAATAACTCAGAATTGTTCTGAGTGAGACAATGCGAACAATGAAATACAGGAAAGATGGAACTGCCAATCACAAAACCACTGAATTTGGAAGAGGCCTCTGGACGTCACCTGGCCCAAAACCCTGCTCAAGCAGAGTCACCTACAGCAGGTTGCCCAGGACTACATGGCATGCAAACTATGGGCATACTTGGCTAAACTAGAACTTAATAGACAGATCAACACATAAAACAGCAAGTCCACAGCATATATCAGAGTGTTAAAGCATCCTATGTCGTATCCCTTTGACTACAGCTTATTTGATCTGCATTAAAAGTCAAATACATATACAAAAAAGAAAGTAGACCATACAATGTTGGATTTGTATCAAGTGAACAATGATTTAATGATTTTATTTTTTCATATTAACAACAGAATTTTTCTGTCTTGCTAAAAGTCAGAACAACGCAAAATAAGGAAGTGAAATTATTACAGGAACAGAAAAAAATAAGCAGGTTTCCTCTTGTGCCAAGAGCAAAACTTAGTGTTTCTTGGTATCCTATTTATTTACAGATATCAAGGATTCTGACAATCAGTTTTTAATCAAAATCTATTCAGTGGAAATTAAGTTAGAGGCATGTACCCAAAGTCTTCCCATGACATCCTTGTTGAAAAAAGATGATGCAAGTGGCATTTTCAAATGAACATATTCTTTTCAAAAGTAAAATTAAACGAAAATTCATGTCCTAACAGCTGATGCTAAATTTCATAGCAAGCAATCGTATACATACTATTTAGATGCAAGATTTATTTTAATTTCCATAAAAAACAATTTGTATAATTTTACTATAGGCTATGTAGTTTTTCTTTTATCACAGTTGCAATAGCTATGACATTGCACAATGGATCCTTAATCAGCACCAATGAGCAACAATGTCCAAAATTTAGAGCACAGAGATCAGTTTGAAGCCAAGCTCATCAACTTCTTAGACAAAGAAAAGAAAAAAATTCACATCATTCAGCAATTGTGCATTTCAATTTCAGTCAATTAAAGAATGGTTTCTTATTTGAGCACATCAAGTTAGAAGATGATTTGAGATTTACACAATTGGAAATACTAGTTTCCTGATGGATAACACTCCAAACAATCTCACTTAACTTCATAGATGTTTACTGGACTGCAGACCTCCTGAGGACAATTCCAACCTTAATTAGCCTATGAACCTCAGAATCTGGGCAGTAAAAAAAATGCTAAAAGAGTATCACTGGCAGAAAGGTTTCAGTAAGTCCAGTATCTTTAATAAGGCAGAGGCAATGGAAAAGTTGAACTATTTAGAATCTTTTAGCAATACTGCCCTAATACATTTTAAAGTGAATTCTCCATGGAATGCAACCACTTTTTGATATCAGTTACAGCATTCATTCTCACATAAACTTAACCTATGAAGACAAACAAAGAGTATAAAAAGAGAATAAAAAGTTAAATGAAGAGATACAAAAGAGAATAAAAGCATACAGAATAAATGAGAAAATCTGTAAAGATTCTATAAACCTCTGAATTGTTTTACTTGTTACCTAGAATCTGCCCATTATTAAGTAAAATAAATGCAGATTTCTCTAAAAGCATAACTACTTTAGTTCCTCAAAGCTAAGCCTGGAGGCTCTAACTTAGTAGAAAAAAGGTCAGCACACAAACACCCATCAGTTCACCCTATCATCAACAGGAGATGCTGTCAGAAATTTAAGGCAACACTGTAACAACTTACGCATAAAGCATTAAGGTAACACCTATTAAAAGCAATTGCATAGTGCAATGGGAAGTTATATTTGGAGATTAAAGCATATAGTTACATAGAGTATTGAATACAAACAAAAAAAACCACCATGTGTTACATATTTCAAATTCAAAAATAAACACTTTATCATAAGATGTGGATACTGGTTAAGAAATTATAGAAGATTAATTGTAAGTCAAATTTCACTACAAAATTAGTGATGAGGAATATCTGTATATACTTTTGATAAAAAAAAACAAGGTAAGCCTCAAAATGAAGGCACAAAAATAAAGGAAGGTTTTGTTTTTTTTTTAAGTAATAAAAAACAACTGTCCTGGCTGACCGCCCAATAAAAGCAACAAAAGTTCTGCTTTTAAAATGGCATCAGTACTGAGAAGTCAAATAGTTCTGATGCTAAAGAAAATGGCAGTTAAAGAACAGAACAAAACAACATTAAGAATGAAACCACTCGAGTATAAACAGCACAACTGCACAATATCCATTACTACCAGATGTCGAAACGAACTTGCCAATGATAGTATCTTATCAATTGTATTATTATCTATATCAATTATATTATAATTGATATATGCCAATTACACGTATATATAGGATGGAACTATAGGAAGTGCACATTTTCCAGTTCCGAAACTCCTACAGAAACTTAGTATGAAAGTTAAATACTAGATTAAGAAAGCAATAACCACTTTCACCCCTTAATGAGATTCCAATTACTCTGCAGTCTGCAGCTTGGTTCACCACCCAAAACGTTTATTTGAAATCATTCTGCTTCCTTACACTTTTTTTTTTTTTTTAATAGAATAGTTATGATTAATGAGTTACCTGTTTCAGTTTTACTAGAGAAACCTGCTGCCTGTTTGATGGCTGCTGCTGTTAATGCTAATCCTCGGCTCCTCCTCAGGCCGTGCTGTAACACAGCTTCAAACTGAGCGCACAAGCAAGTGACTCTGCAACAAAATTTTTATGCAAATCACGTGAAAAGAATAATCAACTACATTTCTCTAGAGCAGGTTTTCTCCAAATCTCTAAGCAGAGTATGTACAGGAGAACTTTTATTTTACATACAATGAAAGATTCTCTGGATGAATTAATTTTATTATTCACAAAACAGTACAAGATAGCTGAACCCAGTCTCATCATGGCTATTAAAGCTAAAATGCAAATTACACTCAGTAGAACTAGCGATATGAAGTTACCTGCAACTGCTATAGTGTTTTTTAGCCACGGTAATTCAGCTTTGGATCACCTAATTTCCATGCAAAGCAACTATATATTCATAAATATACTACACATGCAATAAATTTTCTGAAAATATACTAAATTGTCCTATACAATTAGTTGACAATTTTGATGCTTGCATTAGTACATTATAATTCAAGTTCAGGAGAACAAATTAACATTGTAATGCCCCCATAAACTTTAGGCATTGGAAAATAAGCACAATATTCCAGCTATGTTGTTCCTTATGATAATATTTTTAAAAATAATCCATTTAATCAGTTTTCATACAAGTAGTAACACTAACAAGAGCAGTTTTAAAGCTCAGTCTGCCAAAACAAGGATTACTACTGTAACCTACAGAATACAGTAAGGCTGGATTTCTAGACACAGAACTCTAAGAAATTGTAACTTCAAAGATGAAAAAAAAGGCTATGAGAACAAAATGCTGAGAACTGTGGATTTTATTGGATTTTGATCTAAATTCTCATACTATCTTCATTTCCAAAATTTTCTCACAAATAATATATTACAGTAATAACCCAAACACGTTACAGACACACCTATCTATCAATGCAGTTTCCTCTTCCTTTTAATTGTGAAACAGAACACCTGTACTACATCATGGTAGAGGGCAGGTGTTTATTTGGACGTTGGTTTGGCTTTTTTTAGTAGCTCATTATTTTGCTGTTTTTGTTTTTCTGTTTGTTTTGGGGAGTGGAGTTTGAGTGTATGAAGTATTTTGAGCCCTATATTTTAGGTAATTATGATGCATAATTTAAGCACATTAAGGATTTCTCGGAATACTTTACCTACTATCAGAATCTGAAGCAATTTCTTTTCTTCCTCCAAACCGTATTTGACACTGCAATAAAGAGACTTTAAGAATGTTTTGTTACAGCAAGACACACAATACACTGAAATATTTTCATTTAAGAAATAAAAGCTCATGACAAAAAGAAAACAGCACAAGATGGATTATTAGAAAATACACTCTGTAACCAAAATTGCTTTTAGCATCATATTCCACTAACAGACTACCCTAGCAGTTCTGGCTAGACCCATCATACCTGCATTATCTGAAGAAAAAAATAAGTTAAAATTATTGCTTTTGAGTTTTAAACATATACCCATAGAAACAAAAAAATGCTCCCTCTCAGCTCAGTGCTACATTTATAGAACTATTTTCTATAAAACATATGATTATCTCACTTTCAAGGCATTCTTTTACCTTCCACGCTCTTTTAAGTTGAATCAAATCTATTATACTCTACATGCTGAACTTCCTGTTCCCTCATTCCCATTTTTACCCCTCACTGAAACCCCAGCGTGAAGAAGTTGATACTGTATGATGCTATCCAATTTAGCCCTCACAGAAAACAATTTATCTCAGACATATAAGCACTACAAATATAACTTGTCTACACAACAAATTTAAATAAGATCTGCAGAACACTCATCTGCTAGCAGACACAAAAATTCAGCAGTACTATACAAAAGACAAGGTTTCTTCTTTGTCTGGTAAAAATAAAAACAAAATAAAGGAAATAACATATCCGGTCAGTATTGAAGACACAGAATATTGTACAATACTGTAGAAACATTGATTGGATTTCTCACCTGCTTAACTGCATCCAGTAACCGTTCTAGAAGAAACTGCCTTTTCACATCATTGTTTTGTGAACCTGAAAATCCAAAGTTACGTTATTTGAAAATAAATAAAATTTTAAGAGAAGTATATTGTGGTCAACACTGGTGCCCTGAAAAACATTCTTCATATGCCAGTTATTCCATTAAATTTATGGATTAATTTTCTCCAAGTAAAATGATGTAGTATAAGTCTGCATTTTGATGTTTCAGATAACCTTTCACTGATATACAGGAGTACTGTTTGAAAAATAATCTAAATTCTTATTTTAATAAGAGTGGTTTCATGATACAGGGTATACTGCAGCTGCACCAAGTACAATGTAACAGTGTACAGGCAGTAAAGCCAGCTCCTGGTGTCTTAGCACAGCTACCTGTGGGGCCATACTGCAAGGCTTGAAATAAATTAAAGATTTTGCCATTGTTGTTGAATTACATGTACGATGCAGTCAAAACTGCAATCCTATAAATTCTCATATGGGGACAACTACCAGCACAGCATATCACTAGAGCACAAGAAAAGAGAAAACAGGAAAGAGAGGAATTGCTACTGAACAGTTGTTAAAAAAAAAGCCCTTAACACTTAACTGCCAGCATAGTCTTCTTCCTGATTAATACCTATAAAATTCAGTTTGTTACTATACCAGAAAATCTTTAACTTTTCCACCATTTCAACAAGTAGCATTGTACTTTGCTTGTCTAAACATGCTTTATAAGCTCACATGAATATATACAAAATTTGTGGTTTAATTAATCTACATCACCTCCAATATTTCTTCATTCAGAGCTTAGGCTCAAAAAACATCTCTGACCTGCCAGTAGTTAATTCTTTTCTCCTTTTTCTCCCAAAGAACAGTTAACTAACGTATGCATAGACTGAAAGCCAATTATTAAAATTCTGCATGAGTGAACTTCTCCAGTTACCACATACTAAGCCACAGAATCACAAGGTTGGAAATGACCTGCAAGATCATCTAGTCCAACCACCCTCCCATTCCTATCAGTGCCACAAGCGACTAAACCATCTCTTGTAGCTCCTTGTTCAGGCGCCTCTCGAACACCACCAGGGACGGCGACTCCACCACCTCCCTGGGCAGCCATTCCAGTGCCTGACCACTCTTTGAGAGAAAAAGTTTCTCCTAATATCCAACCTAAACCTCCTCTGGTACAACTTCTGGCCATTTCCTCGGGTCCTACTATTTACCTGAGAGAAGAGGCCAGACCCTTTTGCACCACAACCTCCCTTCAGGAAGCCCTCCAGTAAAGAGGAATATCAAAGACACTGGACCCTTCCTCTTGCCGTCCAGCATTGCAAGGTGCCAACCCCAGAATTTCCTATTTTCAGAACAATATTAAAAGCAGTTCACTCCCTCCCCAGCAGGAGGAAGCATCTTAAATGTGGGAGATTGGGAGTAGGGATGAAAAAAGCTGTGTCTGTGATGCACATGATGCCAAAATTTAAAAAATAGGAAAAACATGTAAATCTAGCTCCTAAGCTTCAGAATGCTTACAGAGATTTTTAAGAAATCACACTTAAGATTCTGAATTGCTTCCCACTGTGCAGACATATGACGTCTGAGGTTTGGTTCTGTTAGTCAAATAACATACACAAACTCAGCTGAAGATGTAAACAACTCTCAACCCGAGCAGATGACACTAGAGACAGGCCTGGCACCAGGTGCGTTCTAACTTCCAAACAATTATACCATTACAAAGATAAAGCTTAATTCATATAAACCTTACTACTTTACACTGTGCTACAACAGAGATTAGTTTCACAAACTTGTACTTGATATATCAAGCATCTAATGACAAAAACAGCAACACATGTCTGCTTATCTAATGGCTTATAATCAATCTGACAACTGTAAAACAAGGGAAACAATTAAACCTCAAGTTTTACTACAAGATTCCATAAACAGCAATGCCAAACATAAGCAAAACGGAAGATACACCGTACTGCTTCAAACTCATGTCCTCTACAGCCTTATGCTTTCAATGGGAGAGCAGACATAACGAGACATTTTTCTTGGTATTGAGTTTTAAATTGCATTACAACAAATGCATGCAATTAATAATTTCCCAACATAAAAACACTTTTCAAATGAAATAGTAAATACGTGGGTTAAGTTTGTCTTACAACTGCAATCCATGTTAGTTTTTAAACTGATGCTTCTTCTGACACTTCTTTTATCTATTTGAAAACATGGAAATGGTTTGCAACTAGATACCAGAATCTGAACACAGAATACAGAAAACCTACACGAAATGATCAGCATGCTAATTAATGTTCCAAAAGACTCAAACAGCCTTAAGTTTACACAGATTCAGAGCACTCTAATGTCTATTTTGTCCTTACTGAACTTAAATTTGTACTAACAACAATTATGACAGCACATCATTATGACCAATGATTTCCATACTAGCTCAAGTCACCTTTACTATTAACAAGGCTACATAACATAACATCCATACTGAGGACAGCTGGGGTTTCTGATAAGTGCAAGTCTGCAGAACTCAACTATTGCCATGTTTAACATACCAAGTTCATTCTAGACAAAAATAATTTTTACAGTTTGACTTTTTTTTAGAAATTGAGAAATCATGTCATTTTTTTTTTTTTTTTCAAGCAAAGCATAGATTCTTATTCTTTGTAATAAGCCTAGAAAATGTGGTACGCCAACAATTTTTTGAAGATTTTAGAAATTAATTCTGACTCAAGGTAGATGGAAGGGAAAAACGAGTCTCTACCAACTCTATTAAAGATTCTGTTCTTTTGCAGTCTTAATGATTTTCTAAATAAAGCCTTTAAGCAGACACGCATATATTCAGAAAAAAATACCAAGTGTGATCAGTTCTATATTGTTTAAATAACAAGTGCATTACAAAGTGACCAAAACACCCTCCTACAGATTAAGGAGAGCAAAAATCCAACTCCAGTAAAACACATACAAATGCAAAACATAAGGCAAACAAAAAAAGCATTACTTGGAAAGGTGTTATATTTAGAGTACTACAGGAAAAAAAGATAGAAATAGGAAGTTCATACATAATTCTAGACAAAAAAAAAAAAGTGAAAACGTAAGTATAAAGAGCAAAAACAAAGTCTTCTCTCATCTCCAACTACTTAGTCAGAAAGTTCAAAATATCCTCAGGTCTCCCTCAGGTCAGAGGAAGGTACTGCACCTCCCTCTTAACAGAAATATCTGCACACAACGCAGACATTCATTACGCAAGTAAGGAAAACAGGCTTTCCAGCAAATTATTTGCAAGTACGGCTGTCTTCATCATTTATAAAATACAGATTAAAAAACAAAAAATCAGAATTCTCTTACATACCTCTTGAAGTCCTGTACATAAAATCTCAGGCTGAAATTGCTCTTGCTTGCTCTAGTACCAGTTCAGAGGCCAACCCAGACCTGATCTGCACGCTACCCTGTAGTACTACACTACAACCCTACTGCCTCATCCTCAACAAGCCTTATTTTCACGTGCTTTGAAACTATCATAAAACTGACACAAAACATGCCTAATTTTTGACAAGTACATAAATCTAGGATCCTCATGTTATTTCCCTTTAAAGCTCAGTTTTTTCAACACTGCCAATGAAACAATAGTAAGTAATTAGCAAGTAGAATTAGCAGTATTAAGTAAAGCTAAAATCTACAGGAAGTTGCCTTCACATCCACTAGAAATACACTACAGCTAAAAATACATGTTATATATAGAGGTAGCCATCAGGAAAGGAGGTCAAACATCAAGGAGCAGCTCTTTTAAGTTTAAGGGCTAAAATTGGGTAGGGAGATAAGTACAGACCATGGTGTTATTCCCTCCCTATGTAACAATTCCCTCCATAAATCTTATGCTATGTTACTGTCAGATAAAGGAAACAAAGACATTTCTCTGTCCTTAACTCTTCTACTTATGTTATTCTGGAAAAAAAAAAAAAAAAAAAAAAAGAAAGAAAAAAAACCCACAACCACCACCACAAAAACCTGCATAGTATTTCATAACTTTGATGTTTCACAAAGAGCAAAATTAGTATTTTTTTTTTTTAGCTTGACATCTAATCAAAATGGAAAACTCATAGGTCATGAGCTACACAGGTAGATTAGCCAAGCAATTGGATTAGTAGCTTTAATGTCACATCAAGCATTACTACTTTTAAGCAATTAATACTTTTTTGTTCTTTAATTCTGAATCCATTATTAAATGTATATATATATTAATAAAATAAGGCTTTTAGTAACAACATTACAAGGCTTTACACCACAAGAGATACCACCTTGTCTTTGAGTCAAAGAACATAATCCAAATGGAGCTCCCAAAGATGCATCTCTTAGAAAGACTTTGCTCTGATTTATACAAAGACTGACTTGCAGAAGGCTACTTGAAGCCTGAACTGAAGGGCTGAGGCTTTCCATGAGAAAACAGGCTCCTAACGACTTCAGAATTAGGTTTTAGTCGATACAGTGTCAAGCTCTGAAACATTTGAGAAATTCTTTTTTCCCCACAGTTTGAAAGGTTTGACAGTTACTTGCATTTTTCACAACACCAATTAACAGTTCTCCACAAAACCTTTTTTTTTTTCTTTTATATCTCTACAGATGTTTTCATTTTCTGTTTCATTTTAAGTAATGGCTACTGACCCTAAAAAGTACAGCATTTAGTTATCCCAGTTAGCTCTTCCATTTTTTTCCTAGCACATTTGGCAAGCAATCTCCCCATACCTTAAATCAGGATGGAAGAAAAATCTACAACACTCAAGTTTGGAAAAGATATCTATTATCAAAGTTATATAAATAAATATATTACTGAATTTATTATTGTTTAAACAGAGCCATGAAAAGTATCTTTGGTGCACCTTCTTTAGTAAAAAGAAACTAACTAACTAACAATAAAACACTTATAAATGCGCTTCAAGATATACAACGTGCCAGTTATCTTGTCATATTTACAGCAAAATATCTGTTGACTACCAGGATCCTTCTGTCCAACAACTCACGCTGGCCCAGTCAAGTGGCTCAAATTCCTCCAACTCTTAGGGACTCAAAAGTCAGGTAAGGAACACTGGGGCTGGAAGTGAATACCACCACACACAAGGCTTCCTTGTCACATCTGAGTTTGGCAAACAGACATAATAGAATCAATAAGGTTGGAAGAGATCACCAAGATCACCTAGTCCAGTCATTAACCATCACCACCACGACCACTACACCACGTCACTCAGGGCCACATCTTCCCTTTTCTTGAACACCTCCAGAGATGGTGACTCCACTACCCTCCTGCACAGCCTGTTCCAGTGCATTACTACTCCTTCTAAGAAGAAACTTTACTTAATATGCAATCTGAACCTCCCCATAGTAATTTAGTTAAATCCATTGCCTCCTGTCACCTTGTTGCTAAATGGAAGAAGAGGCTGATACCCACCTCACTAAAACCTCCTTTCAGGGAGGTGCAGAGAGCCATGTCTCCCAAGTTTCCTCCAGACTGAACAATCCCAGCTACCTCAGCTGCTCCCCATAAGACTTGAGTTCCAGACCCTCCACAGCTCCACTGCCCTTCTCTGGACACACTCCAGGGCCTTGATGTCCTCCTTCTGTAGTGAGGGGCCCAGAACTGAAGGTGCAGATACACTTTAAATACTTTAAGGTACCAGTTTTTCTACCTATCACGTTTCTCATCTGTCTCATCAATTGTACGTGAATAAGTTTTTCGTTTGTTTAATTTATTCTTGGCCATTTATTTTCTCTGAATATTTATTTTTTGTGGCCTTGTACAGCTAAGGCAATGGAAAGCTATGAGATCAGCATCACTTGCGCCCTGAGCTCGCCGAGGGCGGGTCACAACGCGGCGCAACACCATCTCCACGGAGCCGCATCTCCACGGAGCCGCACCTCGCTCTGCGTGGCCCGGCAGATACTCGTGCCTACTAGCAGCCCCCAGCCCTACCGCACAGAGGGGGGGAAGAGAGAGACGCCTCGGCCCCTCGGTGCAGGTCCACGCCTCGCTGGGCGGGGGTCCCCGCGGCCACCTCAGCCCACAGAGAGCGCCGCGGACCCGGCAGCCATCAGGGACCCCGGGCAGCGCAGCGGGCCCCGCAGGAGCCCCATACTTACTACTCATGGCGGCCGCCAGGCTCGCACCGTCCCTCCTCCAGACGCGCTCCCTCAGCCTGCGCAGCCCCAATCCGGACCGAGCACCGCCCCGGAAAGCCGCCCTGTCGCCCCGGAAAGTAAATACGGCTCCGCGCCGGTTGACTCCTCCCCCGCACGGCCTCCTCAGCCCTCGCGGCCGCTGCGTTCCCGCCCTCCGCTGAGGTGGCGGCAGCGCTTGAGGACACGAAGTCGCAGCGCGCGCGGCAGCAAAAAGCGGGAGAGCTGATGTCGAGCGTTACGGCGTGCTGTGATCCCGGAGAGGATCGTGTTTCAGAAACCGTGCGGCAATTGTGCAACCCCCACTATCAACGTATTGAAGTCATTTTCTTAAATTTTGCGATTCACTTCTCGGCACTGTCTCACTACTTACACAGTGCTGTGCATTCACCACGTTGCAGCAGGTCATAGTCTTTTTGTCAAGGGCTCCTAGGTACGATAATAATAAAGACTGTAGTAGTGCTGTAGGCCTATTTGAGAGTTGTTGGCTCTGTCTGGCCAGACCAATGCAGCTACAAATTTTTTATAGAACACGTTCTAAAAAATGGCTGGCAATTCAATGAAATCTATCCACCATCAGGAAACACACTGTGATCTCATGTATGATATTTCACAGGACCACAGCCTGCTTTAGCATGACCCAGAGATACTATCTGAACTGGGAGTAAAGACACACACCATTCTTAATTCAAGCATCACAGGTTTATTTGAAACTATGCTTTACAAGACTGGGGATACTATGTAGACTTCATGTCTGCCTCAAGTAAATTTCAGCATAAGATCTGATTTTTATCATGAAACATATAATTTAAAATTTATTTAAATATCTCACATAAGCAGATGGAATCTCAGGACGCTGGAAGAGCCATTCTACACAGAGACTTCCAGAAATTAAAAATTCCAATAAATGGTGTTTCTAAATAATATAGAAATACTTGACCTAAAACACACTAGAATTAGAAATAATGTAACAGTGACTGTTCAAGGCTGAGTATAACCGGAAGATGCACTAGCCTTCCCCACTGACTGCAAGTATTAATAGCTTTACTGGGACAATTGATGTATTATTATGCAGAATAATACAGGCACCTAGCACCCAGAATATATCTGCAGTAATCAAAAGATTTTGCAGTAACTGGAACAACAACTCCTTCTTCTGTAGCTGCTATTAGAAATCGAGTTTCACAGCCAGACTGTTTTACCAAGCCAGTCACTACAAGTGCATTCTTTCACTGAATACGTTAATGCTTCACTTTGAAGTGAGTGTGTAATTCCATCTGTATGCACAATGCTTTCAGTATTAGCCGTGAGAATATCATTCCACTCCTTAGAGGAGTCTGTAATTATAAAAATGTTAATCTAGTACGTATGTCACACTGTATCTGACATACAGTTTTTAAGGATCCAAGTTTCATTATGTTTCAACTACACTCCTAGCCTTAATGAAAGTTTTAAGATGAGATGCAGGGAAAGTTGTAAGATGTAATTATATACAATAATATTTTGTTACAGTAAGACCTAGAGTTACATGTTTCCTTGGCAGAATGTAGGCATACCAAGCACTGAACGTCCAGCTAGAGCATTTCCTGCCATGAACTCAAATTTGACTGCTGGTTTATTTTGACATCTGGAGAAGCCTAATACTTCCAGAAATCCCCATCAGTGCCAATCTCACGTCATTACATGTGCTCAAATTGTAATACTTAGGCGGCAGGAATTAGTTGCCTGGAAAAAATTAAGGGGAATTTTGTCTTTCCCTTTGGGACAAATACATAAATAAATTAAATAAAAGCACTTATTTTAAGCTTCAACATTAAAATAACAAAATGAAATCTCTGGATAGAATACTCAATTAAGTATTATTATGTCAATAATTATATGTATGATGACTGAAATTCATCCCTCAGACCATTAGCCTAAGGTCTATGTAACCAAAAATTATTTCAACAAGGCTTTGTTTAGACTGCTTTGGGGTTCTTCTGCTAATGCTTCTGGAAGCTATTTTGCCTGACTGTACTTCAGAAATTCTGTTGGCTCAATTACACAGTACTTAACAAGAGAAAGAGAGTTTTCTGCAAAGGCTGTTGCATTCGCTTCACTAACAACATTAGCTAAGACTCACGGAGGAATTCTTCTGGCTGTAGAGTTGCTCTTAGACTGGTCACTTTGTGCTGACACAGATCTTCTGGGTAGTATATGTAATTTTTTCCCCCACCCACTAAGTCAGCTAGCTGACTTACAGTTTTCAGTCTTTGTCTCAGTCCTCTCTAGTTCTCTAAAGATATTTGCTGAAAAAGTCCAAAGATAAAAGTCCTTTGTAAGTGGCCTCAGCACAACAGTCCTGAAGATCTGTGAGATGAATTTACCTATTAAAAAAGCACATCAGTTTTTCTTCAAAAAAATTACTGAACTTCAAGGAACAGCAGTCTTGCAAACAATTATCTTCTGAAAAAGCATTGAAATTATCTGAAACAGTTATTTTCAGAAATCCACATCTTGTTAATTGCTTGCTTTAACTCTATGGCTGGAAGCAGATAAGCTATTCTAGAAATTGGGTAAATACAGTTAATAAAAAAAAAAATAATAAAGAGGTTATTAAGCAATTTATTGTGTTCATTAACTTTTACATTCAGCAAAGAACAACGCTATCTTTATCCACAATATTTTTTAACTTTTTTCCAGCACGGTACAAAATCAAGAACCCTGTAGATATTTCTTGTTCGGTACAGCACGCTTTAATTAGGCCACTGCCTTGAAGCATGATGATGGATCTAGTGTCTCTGAAGAAGATTTAAAACCGAAAAACTTAAGGGAGAAATATTCCTTAAAAAACAGTAATTAAAATAGCAATCATTACAGAAAAGACTAAGTATATAGGAAATAAAAGCAATGGAAGAAGGAAGATGCTCTTTTCATTTGTCTGATATTCCACACGTGCCAAAATAGTTATGTAACTACTAAGGACAATATGTAAAGCAGTAATTGTGCAAGGAAGGTTGGAACACACTAATATTCGTTAGAACGCTGTCATGTTAAGGGTATGAGTCTGACAGGCGGCCAATTGGTGAAGCCTTCCTGTTGAGTCATGTGGTTCAAGAAAGGACCAGACTGAAGTGAAATTTTGGAGTATTAAGAAGGGGAGTGGGGGAAACATATGAAAATCCCGCATTGTGAACTAATTTTCTATTCCCACTTCCCAGGAGATAGCATGTAAAGTTTCTATATGAAACACAAGTGTAATAAAACTCTTGTATATTGCAGGAGATCTAGCCTAGAAATGCTACGGAGCCCAATAGTAGGCATGGTAACTGGACCTCTTCATGTCATATAATCAGTGCAATAAGAAAAGGTATGAATAAGCACATTCTAAGCACCCTGCATTAACGCAGTATATGAATATTTTCAAAACTAAGATCAGGATTTTCATTGTCTCACAAAAACATTCTTTACTAACAAACTGGAAAAACTGTATCAGCTGCAGCTGAACTCTTTGATATTAGGGACTTGCCTTGTGTATCTGTATTAGATAAGCCCCACTTTCAATGCTAGCTATTTCTTAAAACTTACACATCAACGTAAAAGCCTGAAAATTTCATGGTAATCAAAGTTGTAAATTTTCTCCATTATTTCATTTGCACGAGAACAACACAACTTATAAATAGTGGAGGAAAATCTTCTGAAGGACTGATACTTAAAAGTTACCATTGTTGTTCAGTCAACTCAGCCCCTGAGATTCTCAGATATGTCTCAGGGGAGCCAAAACATGCTGTTTCAATTTGTTGCTTCCAGAGAATCTAAACATATTATGCTAATTAACTTATTATGTTTATAATGTTTATTCTCCACATCCAAAAAACTCATCAGCAAAAGCAAATTTATTTTGATGAAATAGAAGTCCTAATCATGATGTTGCTAACAAAGTAACAAAAGCATAAGATGAAAGCATAAGAATGGGTGAACACAGACCCGGACTGTATTTAACAAGATTTATTTCCAGCTGCTTCAGTACTTTAACTGATTGTTCTATGTTTTTTGTTGTTGTTTTGTTTTTGTTGTTGTTTTTCTTTCTAAAGTAAAAACAAAGGATTTTATAGCCTTTGTGAGGCCTCCAGTTTGTGCTTCAACTATTCCAAAAGAAAGGCTTTAACTCTAGAGGCTTTGAAAAGAGGAGTACAGATCAGAAGTACTCCTCACCAAATAACAATGAAATGCCTAAGATTTAATTTGCTGAATTCCATTGAGTTTACCCATTTGTGAGCTTAGAGTAATTCTATGACTGGACTGTGGAAGAGAATTTATGGTGCTACAGTGCCACAAAAAGAAAGTCAAAGAAGAATTTTATTTATAGCTCTTCCAGTCTAACAGCTTAAAAGAAAGACTTTGTGTAAGACAAAACAAAGTACAGCCATCGTGTGGGTGTCCAACAGAGGCAGAGTAATAGGTCTGAAACTGCATTTGTTAAAAATAGCAGGGTTACAACAAATTAATCATTGAAAATACATTTCCAGGTCAAGATATCTCAGTCTGGATTATACATGCTCTTGTGCAAACATAAAATCTTATTTGTAGCTCATTTAACCCTTTCAAGAACACCAGCAAAACTTAGGACAGACTCAGATCTTGAAAAAGTCATAATGCCGAAACATAACGTGGCTGTCTTCTCTAGTTCCCAGCTACATCTCCAGGGACTACCTGGAAAGAGAATTTGGTAGAGTTTTGAAGTACTGGTTTCTAGCACCTAATCAAACTGAAGATAGTTCAGTATTTTTAATTCCATGACAGGCCTAGTGAATACATGAAAGTTATTTAGAGGAAAAAAAAATCTGATGCAGTCTTCCTGACGGAGACCAGCTCAAGACGCCTGGGACAGACGGGCTTAGGCTCTGGTGGCACAAAAGCAATGTTTATTGAAGGCTCATTCTTTTTATAGACTAGATACACTACAACATCGTAAATAATTAGCAAGTGTGAAACAAAGCACAAAGCAAAGGCTTGTGTGCAAGCAGCTGTTCTTGTACACCCTTATCCTAGTTTCTTTTGTTCTGCTTACCCAAACGTAAGTTCTTTCTTCCTTTGCCAATCAGT